TCGCAGAGGCTCGCACTGGCCCTCCTATCTATGTGCCTTACTCACTCTCGTAGAATTGCGGCACTGGAACTCACCGCGCTATGCCGACTACCACGAATAAAATGTAAACAACTACTCATAAGAAGCTTTTTCACGTGAGATCGGTGATTTCGCGTGGATGAAACTTTTCACAGGAAGACAAACGCAAATCTGAATAAGCTTTTGAATTTGTCATGGCTTGGTAGTCGCCATAAAGGTAATAGTCACCGTGAACTACATCTCTGCGCGAAAATCTTCTGAAATGCTTGGCTAGAACCTTGGCAAATTGACCATTTACGCAGCCAATTCTTTTTGGAGCCGTTTTAGTTATGTAGTAAACTTTTGACCACTTTTTGGGCTAAAGTCCATCGTTTGCACATTTGCTAACCAAACACACCCACGACTTTGTAAAAAAGTGGTGATACGGACCCAATTATGCGGGACAGAAGCCAGGTGGATCCATTTGGCGCGCATTTTCTGAGGGATCCACTCGACGAATCTACTCGTGCTTTTGCATGTTAGACTTTCATGAGGGGAGCATGCGCTATGCAAAATTTGGGCTTAGAACACTGGCGCTGGAACACGCTTTACGAATTTCGTAACAGACGGACACACAGACACACACACAAAAACACGTAAACAACCCTTAGCCCGTTATTATAAGGTCTTGATAGTCAAAAATTTCGAATAAATTATTCGATCACGAATATTCGTTTCTAACTATACTAAATATAACACTGATTGATAGCATCAAATAAAAATACGAGAGGCCATAAGAAGTTTGACTTAATAGTAGCTACAAATATGTATTTTTTGTCAAAATAGTATCACTAGGACTGAGTAGTGCATCGAAAGATCACTTGTGTTCGTACGAAGTGTAAGAGTGAATCTAATTTTGCTCTATGCTAGGGTTAAATTTACCTTGATGAGCCACGTTCCTGAATACGGGTAGGGTAGAATTTACCCTCGAGGTTCGTTGATCGATGCGGGTTGATCACGTTTCGTGGTAACCCTACCCTATGCTCAAGGGCTCGTTTATGAATACGACCAATGAACATTGAGTGTTGAACTTACTCTTCAGGATTAGTTTAACCCTCAGGGTTTGTTGATGATTACGGCCACAGGTCAGAAGACCATCAGCATCATCAACTGCTACTTCCCAACATCAGCGATTAACAAATCAAAACTAGAAGCTTACTACAAAGACGTGGAGGAGGCCGTCTACAACGAGAACTCCTTTTGCAAGTTGTGGTGGGCGACCTCAGCGCGAAAGTCGGGATGCCATAGAAAAGAAATGTAGGATCGGGATTTTTGGACAGAGGCTTCGGGACAACACGGCAACCATTTCGTTGGGTTTGTCGCCCATTAGTTTTCATGGAAATATAACTTTCATGAAAATAGAACAATACCGGTGGACATGGGAATCGCCCAACGGAACAATCTTACGGAGGTCAACCGCATTCTCTCCAAGACCGAAAGTGAAGCTTGCCGATGTCTCAGTCGTTCCATCCTTCTGCAGTGGCTCTGATCACCGTTTCCTTTGAGCAAAGGTACCATTTAGTCGAAAGCTGGAAAAAGTCTGCCACGTGCCGCAAGAAGGATGGAAGTCGTTCATGACGGTAACAAGCTAGAAGAGCTCATGTCAAATTTTGACTGGCCCATCTAGGAGGACAAAGCGTATAACTACAACCAGCTTCTAAATGGACTGCGAGGCGGCAAGAGTGCTCCTCAGTAACTTCCGGAAAAAAAAGTAAAACGCAATTTGAAAACCACTCAAAAGAAAAAGATTCTTGAGGCAGAAGGCGAATGCAACCCATCTCGAGAGACTGATAGCCAACTGTAGTTGCAAAACAGCTATGAAGAGGATTTCAGAAAGTGCAGGCAAACCGAGATACTGAAAGCAGCCGAAGGAAGTTCGCGAAGGACTCAGCCGCATGGCACATCAGATGGTTCTAAGGTTCGTATAAGTCAGCAGTGACTGCCTCTCATCCTAACCTTACGTCGACTACGAGAAAGCCATTGACAGCGTGGAATTAACGCCATCCTGTCACCGCTAGCTGTTCAAGTAGTCCAGCTCATATGAGGGCGTTAGCCGACAGCTATAAAGACTGTGCAATGACGATGCAGCTATTCCATCGCCCCTTGATCATGACAAATGGAAAGAGGGTCGACAAGGAGCCATAATCTTGCCAAAGCTGTTCAACGCAGCCTTGCAGTGGGTTACCAATGGACTGAGACGAAAGGCAAACGAGTGATGGGGCTCCCGTCAAACCTTCGTTTTGCGGAAGACATCGTTCCCTTGTCAAGCAGCATCACTGAAGCAAAGGCGATGCTAAAAGAACTAAACGGAGTAGGGAGGAAAATCGGATTGCGAAATTGGAAAGAGGGTCGGCCTTTATGAAGAAAGCCCTTCGCGAAGATGCGTGGGAGTGGAAGGCACTCATATTATGGAAAGGTCTTCTTACATTCACTTTGAACGTTAAATGAACATGGAAACGACTTGAGGAAAGATTACAAGAGAGAAAGAGCGGCCTGGGCCGCTTTTGGAAACCTGAAAGGCCACTGGCCAACTGACAGCCCATAGCTTCGGGCCCATCTGATCGACTCAACCGTCCTCTCGGCGCTATTCTACGTAGCTGAAACTTGAACTGACACTTCAACCACGTCGAAAGCTCTAAGGACCACCCACAGAGCGCTTGAACGCAGTCTTTTGAAGGCGATCCAACACAAACACATCTTGTCGACTTCGTAGCAGGTTATGAGAAGAGTGTCCAGTCTTCAAGACCTAACGGATTATGTTAAAGCGGAACATCGATGGGCCGATATCATGATAAGAAAAACGAAGATAAAGACTAAGAACATCGGAGTGGATTCTTCGCGAAGCGAAACGTCCCGAGGAAGTCCAACGAGATGGGCAGACGTGTTCGTGGAACGGATGGACAGTTGAGAAATCAGCTGGATACGATTTTTACACTTTGAAGATGTGTACGCGTGTGAAGCGAGAGGTGGAACACTGGAGCCTTCTGTGCTAGAGCCCGCACGTCACGTGAAGACGAAAGATCTAAGTATCCAAGAAAGTAAGTATTTATCAGAATTCATCCTGCGACTCAATGACAGAAAGATAGACTTTTCTTACCTTCTCTCATTGTCAGATCTTTTGCTTGATATTTTTTTTGCCAAGTCCTCACTGAATATATCGTCGTGACCCCGCGACAGATGGAGCGTGTCGTCTGCAAGGTCCGTAGACGTGCGTATTTCGTACGGTATTAGCCATGGCGTGGCATGTATATATTAGGTTGAACCGAAAGTTCTGTCCCTCCATTTTCAAAAATTCGTAACTTCGCCAGATTTCAACGGATTTGCTTGCTCGTAATTTTATTAGAAAGAATAGATCTTCCGCTTTCAAGCGCTGTTTTATGTAGCTTCTGCTTCGCACTGAGTGCCGAGATAAAAATGGAAAACTAAGACCATGTAAAGCTTGACCATTTTAAGTTAGGTCACCAAAAATCTGGAATGCTGCAGAAAAATCTGAAATCGTCAGTACATATGTTTTTTGGCCTACTCTTTGCAATTGTGAAGAGTTTGCGCTGTTTGGACGTTTCTGCGAGAAGTTATGATTTTCACGAAAATTGCCAAATTAATTAATTTTGGCGTTATCCATAGTAAACTCGATATTCATAACTTCTCACAGAGATGTCCAAACAACACAAACTTTTCACAGATGCAAAGGGTAGGCCAAAAATCATATGTACTGACGATTTCAGATTTTTCTGCAGCATTCCAGATTTTTGGTGACCTAACTTAAAATGGTCAAACTTTACATGGTCTTAGTTTTCCATTTTTATCTCGGCACTCAGTGTGAAACAGAAGCTCCGCAAAACAGGGCTTGAAAGCGGAAGATCTATTCTTTCTAATAAAATTACGAGCAAGCAAATCCGTTGAAATCTGGCGAAGTTACGAATTTTTGAAAATGGAAGGACAGAACTTTCGGTTCAACCTAATATTAGGTTGAACCGAAAGTTCGTTCGCACGATTTTCAAAAAATCATAACTTCTTTCCGTCATGATGATTTTGCGCAGTTTAAGTCTTATTAGAAAGCGTAAAGCATGTAGTTTCCAATAATCTCCTGGCGACTTTCCAGCATGTTCAGATTGCAGAGATAAAAATGAAAGAACGAAAATATCCGAAATCCGGAATTTTTGAGAAACAATTCCAAAAATCTAGAAACTGCGCGATAAAATCCAGGAAAGCCATTAACCTAATTTTTCTTATATTTGATTACTAACTGAGTTAAGTTTGTGCTGATCGAGCTCTTCTTTCAAAAGCTATGATTTAAAAAAAATGCCGAAAAATCAATCTCCTAGGAATTCTTAGGAAAGTGATTTTTCGGATTTTTTTTCAAAAAATCATAACTTTTGAAAGAAGAGCTCATCAGCACAAACTTAACTCAGTTAGTAATCAAATATAAGAGAAATTAGGATAATGGCATTTCTGGATTTTATTGCGCAGTTTCTAGATTTTTGGAATTGTTTCTCAAAAATTCCGAATTTCGGATGTTTTCGTTCTTTCATTTTTATCTCTGCAATCTGAACATGCTGGAAAGTCTCCAGGAGACTATTGGAAACTACATGCTTTACGCTTTCTAAAAGAACTTAAATTGCGCAAAATCATCGTGATGGACAGAAGTTATGATTTTTTGAAAATGGTGCGAACGAACTTTCGGTTCAACCTAATACATGCCACGTCTAAATACTTGTTAAATCTTCAAAATCTTCATCATATAACATTAGTTTTCGTACTCTCTAACTGCCAAAAACTGCCACGCGCATGCGTTGGCAACGTTGGCAAAGCCACGCCGGCTAGCACCATACAAAACACGCACATCTACGGACTTTGCAGACGACACGCCCCATCTATCGCGGGGAGACGTCGATAGAATTCCACTTCATCGATGTCAACCATATTAGTAGTGTAAAACCTACTCTGCATCAGCAACTGTAGCTTGAGTTTCATCCACAGGTAAACTGGCACTTCTCTATAAATCTAGCTTAAATTCAGTGCTTTTAAAGGATCATATCACCACTAAACCCCACCCTAATTCCGCAAGAAGCTGCAAAATTTCCTTTATGCATGCGGCACAGTCAGCTGATTTGATTATCGTTAAAAAGCAAGTAGGCGGATCTGTTTCAGCTTTTGACATATAAACGACCATTCGAGTGCAGCCAGGGCTCAGCACGAGGTGGCTTTTCCATTCTTTCGAAAACGAAGTCCCCCGTTGACTTCGCCCAAACATACGACAACCCCTATGACCGTTTATGAATGAAACGAACAAAACTAGCAAAGAAGAATACGAGAGCAAACAAAAAGGTACGAAACAACGGTAAAAAATCAGTAATGATATTCATATTCTCCGAATTGGCGGCATACATTGTCCAGCGCGCACAATCGCGCGCCTGGAGCAGGATTGCCGCCGTCATACAAAATCTTTTGAGGGCTGTAACTAAGCGGGGAGAAAGGCGTTTGGGAAACTTCAAGAACTCGTTTGTAGGGTTTTGGATATACCCTATTTTCAGGTGTATAAGCCGCACCCTTTTTGCTCTAAACGCCCGCCGCGCAGATGCCTCGCGAAGCGGTCGCCTTATCGCATACTGCTCTCACTTAACGCGCTCCATGATGACAGTCAGTCTTTTGGCGTGTTCGCCTATAGAGCGAAAAGGGTGCGGCTTATACACCTGAAAATAGGGTAGAATGAAATTATGTAAAAAGATTGGAAAATATGTGAAGGGAGTGAAATTTATGACTTTTTCTTTTCACGGCCACCTCAGTGACTGTCCAGGTGGCTGTAAAGCCACCTAACTCCCAAAAAAGTTTGCCTCCACTTCAGTTCACATAACTTTCATAATTTTTTGCACATAGTACTATCGCTCTATTGCCCATCTACACACCCATTTTGGTATCATTTCATTTTCACTTCGCTGTAAACAAGCAATTTGTTTGTTTGGGAGACCATGCTGCCGGCATGCCGGCAGCTTGCCGGCGGCAGATCGAAAGACCGAGGCATGCTCTTCCGCAAAAACGACATCCCCTTTGCTTTTGACCTCCTGAACGATATCCAGCTTACCCAGTAAGCCACCTGTGCCGAGTCCTGAGTGCAGCGTTCGTTTAGCAGCGCACGGGGGCCGTAGAATGAGTATTCATGAAAATTCAATAATAATTTGATTTGGAGTTACATCCCATAGCTGAGACAGCGTCGTTTGAGGCGTGCAGTGAGCAGATCCGCCATCAAGGCACCGCCACCGTAAAGGTCCTTAAGTATGCAGTATGTGAAAAGGAGCAATGGTCCGCACAGGAATTGCCTAGTGGTAAGTTTATCTTTTCTGTGTGTAGTAAATCCATGCTCCTATAGTCATGTTGTTCATGGCAGAATGCTCAATACAGGGTGCGCCAGAATTCTTTGCGTCAACTTTGCAGGAGTGCCGCAAATGTGGTAGAATGCTGCAATCATCCTTTACAAAACAGCGTTTTATGAGCCCAAGGTGATTGCCATATCTTTATGCAAATAATGGATGTCTTACTAATACTTCTGAAGAGTGCAAAAACCTAATTTTTTGGTAGTTATAATTCATTCCGTAACTGGAGATTCTTGAGACATTTTGAAAGGGTTTTATGTTCACGGTGTAGAGCAGGCTTTGCGCTATCGAATCGTAGTACTTGCATTCGCCAACAATTATTATTCCAAGATGGCGATAAAGAGTACGCAAATGCCACTCGCGTGTTAGTGGCCGTTTTGATTTTAAATTGCTTTGTAGCTACTAGTTGACTTACCCGGCTCCGCCCGGCCCTGTCATTATTATATTTGTAATCAGCATGCTCGATTACCCCCCTGCGCCAACTCCCAGCCCCGTACCTCAAATTTTGCAAAGAATCGATAAAATCGATATCGATCGATGACGAAAAGTAGTCTATGACACCCGCCGGGGCCCGAAGTGTATGTGTGCCAAGTTTGGTCCGGATCGGTTCAGAAATGGAATTTTCTATTCGGAACATATGTACACACAGACAGACAGACAGACAAACAGACAGACAGACAGACAGACATTCAGCTTTATATATAAGACAGAGACGTATCCGTCACCGGATTCAACGCATTGCTTCCAGAAAGCCTCCAAATACATATTCACTTTTTTCCATTGATGAAATTGACCTCAAACCTGATCGGAGTCAATTTCTGTTTTTCTTTTGCTCACTCGTACCCCTAAAATGTGCAGTTTTTGAACATGTGGCAAACACATGACTTTGAAACGCCGATAATCTTCTTGCCAGACCATCCTAGATTTTGCGCTTATAGTATGTTGCAGCCAAAAACTTGTTCTATCGTGTGGTGTGTTCCTTGCATCACAGGAACATTTTTCTAGAAGAGGCAGAACGATCCTTTGGAAAAATACCTGCGTGTTGGCGCAACTTAATCAGTAAGATATTTTGTGATTTTTTCCGGAGCCACACTTGGGAATTCCAATTCATACTATAGCCTCTCAATGATAAAACATTACTAAAACAAAATAGTTTTTTGCTTATTGCTGAATTCGTATTGCACGAGTCTTGCGTTGCAGAATACACGCGCAAATAACTCTGGCGCACCTTATAGTGAACAAGCATGCTTGCGTTTACAATCCTATGGGCTTTCCTGTTGACGCTACGCCTGTTTAAGTTTGGGCGATCGACGACAGAGTATCGACTAATCAAGGACTTGAAGGCAGTGGATCGCCAAAATTCAACAACTCGGGATTTTAACGCGGTAGGTTCGTTATCGCCAAACTATGAGAATAGTGCAATTCCGGTTGCACAGCATGCTTTCCCTGCCGAGAAAATCGCTCTCGAACTTACACGCGCAGGCCAATCTTACACGCATCTAGAGGAGTTGGCAATTTCCTTCTCCATTGGAGGCTACCCGCCGCAACGCCATAACCATTGGGTCCTGCCACGATTTAGCGTCATCGGCTTTGCTCCACTCGTCCAATATCAAAGGGAAGGGCATTAAAAACGCTCATTTTCACAGTTTTCAAGCTTTCAAAAGTGGATTTTCGGGATCAGCGTATTGAAAAACCCCAGGTAAACGCAAATTTGACTAGGTTGAGATTTGCCGAGCCACTGCCTTTAACACGTTTCGGACCGCGAAATCGCGCGCGGCGAAAAAGAGGGTACTTTCAGCCGTTAGCCAACAAAGGGACCTTAATTCGTACACTGTGTGCTACATCTGTAATCAGCATGTCAGATAAGATTCATACCCAAAGTTCTGAGTGAATTCGAAGTGTTAGAATTTTGTCGCCTGAGAAGGACTTCTGTGCTTTCATGAAAGATAGGAACAAGAACTCAGTTTCTAATTGTATCCAAAAGTATCTATGTTATACACGATACACATCATTATTGGAACTAAGGATTTTCTCTTTGAATTCGAAGCAAAGAAAAGTTGCGACGTCGCACGCGTCGTTCGCGTTTCCGCACTTCGTTGCAACTGTTGTTCGAAATGTCCTCATCTTATATATAAAGCTGAATGTCTGTCTGTCTGTCTGTCTGTATGTATGTCTGTACGTATGTGCGGAATAGAGATTTTTATTTCTGAACCGATTTGGACCAAACTTGGCACACATATACTTCGGGGCAGGGAGCGTGTCAAAGGCTACTTTTCGTTATCGATCGATATCGATTTTATCGATTTTTTGCAAAATTTGAGCTACAGGGCTGGGAGTTGGCACAGGGGGGTAATCGAGCATGCTGATTACAAATATATTATTGACAGGCCCGGGCGGAGCCGGGTTTGCCAACTAGTATCTTCTAAACAAATATCGGCGGCACAGCCTTACAGAGTCATTTGAAAAGGAGCAGCTTAGGACTTTGACTTGATGACCTTGGATAAAAAGAAAACCTCCTGCAAACACTAAAAAGATCCTTGAAAGGCGCGTGAACACCATGTGCAGCACCGGTCCGAAACGTGTTAAAGATGCGTAGGCAAGCCTTCCGAAGAGCTTTTCCTGCCCGAACCTTTCTAGAGTAGATAGCTATGCTCGATCAGTTAGTCATTGAAAAAAAAACTTCATTCTTGATATATAAAGCTGAGTGTGTGTTTGTCCGTCTGTCAGTATGTGCGGAACGGAAATTTTTATTTCTAGACCGACTATGAGCAAATTTTGCGCACACATATACGCGGCGGAGAGCGTGTCGTAGGTTACTTTTCGTTATAGATAGATATCGATTTTATCGATATTCATAGATTTTCTGGCGCTATTCCAGTATCCGGGCCCCAAAATTCTTTTCGCATGAATGTTGCTGAAACTTGGCCCAGAGAGATTATTCGGTCCGCTGATGCCAAATATCACATTGGTTTTGTACCGTAGCGCCATTTTCTCGGGTTACGGTAGGTACACAGTAAGGGGTCAAAATCCCAGAATTCGCTGAAACTTGACCCAGGGAGGTTATTCGGACCGCTGACGCCGAATATCACATTGGCTTTCTACCGTAGCGTCATTTTCTCGGGTTATGGTAAGTATACGGTATCGGGTGAAAAACATAGTTCTGCCTGAAACGGGTGTACGGCGATTCAGACGATCGTGAAGCTTTGCACACACGACCACCGCCGCGCGCTACACACCCTGCTGCGGCTTTTGCCTAAGCAAAGCACAGGGGAAAGATATATTTGCCGATTTGTGATTTTGACCCCCTATTGTAAACCTACCGTAACCATGCAGGGAGATGTTTTCGTGCGGAGAAAGCGTGAAATTTCACGAAAAATTTCGACAAAGCATGTCGAATAGCCCCTCTGTGCGAAGTTACAGCAAATTTGGCGCTCCAGTATCCGGGTCCCAAAATTTTTTTGACATGTATTTTGCTGAAACTTGGCCCAGGGGGGTTATTGCCGGCTGATGCTGATTATCACATTGGTTTTGTACCGCTGAGTCATTTTTTCGAGTTGCGGTAGGTGCACGGTGAGGGGTCAAAATCTCAAAATTCGCTGTAACTTCGCACAGAGGGGTTATTCGACATGCTGATTAGAAATATCACACTTTCTCCGCACGAAAATGTCTCTCTGCACGGTTACGGTAGGTTTAGGGTAGGGGTCAAATCAAATCACGAATCGGCACATGTATCTTCTCCCTGTGCTTTGCTTAGGCAAAAGCCGCGGCAGGATGTGTAGCGCGCGGCGGTGGTCGTGTGTGCAAAGCCTCACAATCGTCCGAATCGCCGTACACCCGTCTCCGGCAGAAGTAAGTTTTCCACTTCACCGTGTACCCACCGTAAACCGAGAAAATGACGCTGTGGTACAAAACCTATGTGATATTCAGCATCAGTGGACCGAATAACCCCCTCGGGCAAGTTTCAGCAAAATCCATGTCAAAAAAAATTTGGAACCTGGATACTGGAATAGCGCTCATTTTTTCATTTTTTTGAATTTGAGTTAGGGGCAGAGAGTTGGCAGGGGGAGGAGGGGGGGGGGGGTATATGAGCATGCTGATTGAATGCAGTTATTTTTCAAAATTATTGGTTACTTTATCGATTTTATCGAATTTTGCAGAGTTTGAGCTATGGAGGCGGAAATTGGCGCAGGAAGGGGGGGGGGGGTAATTGTGCATGCTGATTTCGAAAACAAAATGGGGATAGGAAATCGGCACATAGAGATGTGCACAGGGAAAGGTTGTACGGTGATAGAGATGGGACCTTTATCATAATGGTTGACAGGACCAGGCGGAGCATGCCAACTAATTTGTCTCATAATTCTCACCGCGATCGGATAGCTTTTGGTATTATTAGCAACTCTATAAGCTCCTGCAAGACGAAGGCGGTCGGTTCGATGTGCAACGCGGCTGCGACATGGCTGCGTCACAGCAGCGTCACAGCCGCGTCACAGCCACGTCGCGCCTTGAATCAACCGCCTTTGTCTTGCAGGAGCTTATACCAACGGAAAGGGTTCCTCTTTCGATTAAGGATGGACATTGAAGTGTATGATGGCTGCAATCTCTCACGATTTTAGAGAACGTAACCCTTTTCGAGTCCAAGTTCATAACATCCGTTAGCTGCTTAGAGGTGTTTTGCATAACCACAAGTCATTTTCAAGTAATTGGTTCTCAAGAAAGTTGCAAAGCTCGCGAAACAAGGTCCTTCGATAGCAAAGCTAACATACTCTTTTCCGGTCTTTCTTCTTTGGTGAATACCGAGATTCGAGTGCCTTCTGCTTTCTTGCTTGGAATAGTGCAAATAGCCTCCGGAAAACTGAAAATCTAAGTGTTGAGACGAGAAATGGGCGTGAACGATGATTACGATGACTAACAATTTCGAATTGCTAGCATGTAGAAATATGCTGCACCAGCTCAGTCTGAGTTCGTCAATGTAAAATGATACTCCATTGCCTACGAACGTATTTATACGGTCAGCGCTATCACTACCTACTATTCTACGTCGCACTTGCCAAAACTTCATCGGAAAGCAAGAAATTTTGCAGCAGGTGGGTGCGAGCCTGTGGGATAAACAAACTGTGTAACTGCAGCAGCCCCAGTTGTAAAATCATCTCGCGCGGATAATTAGTGTATGCCTAAGGCCCCGGTCAGACTTCACGCGACTTAATCGTCGCGACCAAATCGCCAAGATTTCCATTCATTTTCATTTCACATTCAAAAATTTCGGTCTGGAAAAGTATCACAACCGAATGCAAGTTGATCTGCATGGAATGATGTTGTAACAGTTGTCTCCTCGCGATTCAGTCGCGACGATCAAATCGCGTGAAGTCTGCCCGGGGCCTAAGACTAACAGTCGCATCTCTGAATATTTGATGAAGAAATAAGAATTAAAGATTCGAAGCAGTAAGAACTCCAAATTTGTTTATAGCTCAAAGGCGCGCGTACTGTTGCGTTTGCGCTGCCTAAACAGGCTGTAATTAGGTCTATCGAGCTCGCCATATGCAGAAGGAAATTCCTCAGCATACAGTACTATGGTAAGCGCCACCTCAAGTGGATCTTTCTGGAGTAGAGCCGAGTAAACGGCATAGCAGGAGGAATCAAAGCTATACCGCCTTCATCCAAAGGGCTGAATATAGTGCGCGAGCTGAGTAGGGAGTTGGAAGGGTTTCAGAAAGGATCTAGGAGTCTTCCAAGCTCTGCCCCTCAGCAGTGAGTCTAAGTATTGCCTTTCTGCCGAGGTATTCGATCCGTAAGTTCCGGAACAGTTCTAGCACAGCGCTGTAATTGTGTGTTGTGCTGGAACTGTTCCGGAACTTACGAATCAGTATGAACCTAGCCTAATGAAATCGCTTAGATGAGGAGTGAGGGCAAAGAAGCGAGAGTTATCTGAACACATATTTCTCGCAAGCCGTACTTAAGCACCATCTGTGAGATATGAACGAAGATTAAATGGCGAAAATTGAGTGATAAGTAGTAAAGTGGAAAGCGTGATAGCGCCCTACCTGAGCGGGAGGTACCTAAGCCTAACTAAGCTGTCGAAATTGACGTACACAGTGATTTTCACGAACAGTTAAGCTATGGAAATCCATCTGAACTTACATGCTCACCCGCAAGCTACCACTGTAAGGGAGATGCTTTTGCATCTCCGTTTGCATCTCCGATGGAATGCCAGAAGACATGATTCATATGTTTAGGGCGTGACCGACGATACGAAGCCTCGAGGAGTCGCTCCTTCGCCCCGACACCGACCGGCCGTCCTACTGTACCCCTCCTCGTCTCCGGCTGATGCTGTTCCGATCCAGTACCTATCCAATCTCCAAGCTCAACTACTTCACCGATGATCTCCTATTCTCGCATATTCATATACTGTCCTCTGTCTACATTGATGCCTTAACGATAAACTACTAAGTACTGATCGGTGTTCTGTTCTTGCCAGCCAGGAGCACGCCTCCACTGCCGCTACGCTTACTGGTAGCAGCGAGTGGTTCCACCGCCACGGAGGGAAGAAGTCCTTTTTTTGTAGTTTTGGCCTGGTGGTTCCGATTCGCTGTGAACATCCGTAAGTTTTTCTTATCCGACCTTAACGAACAAATAGGACTGGCCATCTTGTTTGCTCCGAAGGCCGTGAGCTAAGCGAGCGATATCGCTTCGGGTCAGCAGTGAAAGGGTCCACCGCCACGGAGGGAAAATAAGTTTTCGTTTTGTTCGGTAGTTTTTTGTGTATTTTCGCCCTGATGGGTTCCCGGTCGGTATCTTGGCGAATTTTCTTGAGAAAAGACAGTTGTAGTAATTTTGCTTTCTTGAGTTGCCTTTTCCTTGATCTAGAGCTCAGATCTCGTGAAATTTTGGTAGCTCAACTCTTTTTTCTTGAACTAAAATGGTAAAATGCGATTTTCTTTTCTCAAGCATTTTTTTTCCGCGGAATCAGCAGCTCTCTGCTGATAACTTAGAGTAGTGTACGTACACCTGGTGGTGATTTGTCCGGACCTAGTGGTAATAGAACGCCAAGGAAATGAGTGTTGGTTATTGTATTGTGCCCAGCGTATTATCAGGAAGGTATTCTGTGTTCTCCCCGGGTTGAGTTTGTGTTTCCTCGCGGATTAATGGACTTGTGTTTTGGCTAACTTGTGTTTTGGCTAGGCGTTCGCCCATGTTGAATTGATATTAGTGTTGCCGGCGGCTGGGAATTATGAGGTGTTAGAGTCCAGTAGAGTTGCCTCGAGGTAGTTCACGAGGTGACATCCGCTTGAGGGTGTAAGGTGAGCTCGAGCATTGAGGTGATATAACTCAAAGGTGTTGATCGATCATTCTCTTACTGTGTAAGTCACATATGGCGGCCCTTTCCAGATTAGCGCGCAGAGTTCTGGCCGCATTTCCCCAGATGGCCGTCTAGCTAGCGGTCGGCTCCAGTCTACTCCACTACGCTATACAAGCAACTGGGAAATCAGGTACGTTTTTTATAAATTCCTATTGCAATCATATCCTCCTATAACTTGAATTTTCTCTCGCACATTAGCTCTTCCTCATACTTTTGGTTGAATTCTCTCGTGGTGTAGACTGTTTGAGCGTGCGCGTGTATCGCGCCTGACTAGTAAATTACTATTGAGATACCTTTTGGAGATCTTTTCTTTTAACATGATTTCGAATTCATTTGGTGATTTCGTATACTATTTACAGTGGGATATTTTACTCATATAACTATTCTCCTTAGCTAATCTTACTGTATTTCTCTCGCAGTCTGCTCTCTCTCGCTCGCAATCTCTCACTGCTTTCAAGCGCCGATAACTTGAACTTCTTTGTTTCTGAGACTGTTTTCCATGCTCGCGCTAAGCTTTCAAGCACTTTCTCGTTGCGCCATGCAAAACTTCATTCAACTTGCGCTTGCGCTTATTTGAATCAGCTCTTTGTGTCTTTGTGAGCCAAGCTTGTTTCTTAGGGACTTTGCGCTCCGAATCGTATTTTCGCATTTTGCACTCAGCCGCGAGTAACCGTTTGAATTCTCTTGTATTACGATATCTCTTGGTAGCAAAAACCTAGCGCGACTCTTGAGAAAGTAGAGATAACGGCTTTGCACAGCCAGATCATAAACATAGATAAGTCTTAGGGGAAATATCAAATAGCAAGCTAACATTCTCTCACATCCGGTGTAGATGCAAAACATAGATGACAGAGAAATAACACATGCTTAGCATATTCGAAAGTTTTCCCTTAGCATGACGATTGCTGTATTTGATCAGAAACATAGATATCCCCTTAAGAAAACATCTTGGCGCTACCATGTAACATTTGATAAGCAGCGCAACTATATAATAGGTCATCGGACTTAGTTGGCTTCATACTGACGAAGTATTCGCAGTTCGCTCTCGCATCTTTCTTCAAGGTTTGGGCTTCCGCTTCTACTCTTGTCTCTTAATTTCCCTGATATTGGGCTTATCCAGTTTTAGCTTTCATGGTTCCGATTACTCGCTCAAAGGGGCAGGTGGAGCAGCCCGCGACGGATACCTCGAGCCCACCTGGGGCACTCGAGGCTATCACGGCGCCTTTGACGTCGGCGTTGGCGACCCTTGAGGACTCGGCCGTGGTTCATGGATGTGACGCCAAGGAATTGAAGAGTGCCACGACAGATGCTTTGGTCAACGCCTGGCGGGACGCTAAGAAGACTACCGCACAACTGGCGGAGAAACTGAATCGAGGTAATTCGGATCTCTTAGAGGGGATTAACCAGTCATTTGCGGTAGTGGGTTCTCGTATGGAGCAATTCCCATTGGTTGCATCTTGCTGCCCTGATGGGCTCTCGTCCAGAATCGTCCCATTTTCGGGTACTTCTAATTCACAGTCCTTTTCATTGTGGTTGCGCCGCCTAGAGGACTCAATGCGCTTACGCAAAATTGTTACAGCGGAGGATAGGGCTAACTATTTAGTTGCGCATTTAGAGTCTGTTGCCAGGGAACGTGTTGAAACCCTATCCTCGGAGGATAAGCTCGACTATGGCGCAATTGTGGCCCTATTGCGCAAGCACTACGAAGGGCCCAAGCAGATGGCGGATGCCAGACAAGAGTTGTCGTCGTGCAGACAGGCCGCGGGTGAGTCTATCTCTGCTTTTGCATTTCGCCTTCTTAACTTACTACGTACTGCAACAGGTAAGGACCCTTCTCTTAATGATGAAGTGTTTCTTCAAGAGTTTTTGCAACGATTGAATCCCGATTTACGTTTTCATGTTAAGTATGCTAACCCGTCATCCTTTGAGGAAGCAGTGGCCGAAGCCGAACGAGTCGAGAACCTATTGGCTGAAGCTTCTAGGGATCGACTTATTCACCCGTCCCAGGTATCTCAACCAGTGACCGTGAGTTCCATTAAGCCTTTCACCCGTTCTTCATTTGATAATTCTACTGTTAATCCTAACCAGCGTTCTCCCAACCCCTTTCGCTCTAGAAGCCCTTACAGCAGGGAAAGCTATCCAGGTAGAGTAAGACCAAATGCTAATCGTGTCCGATTTCAGGAACCAATGCAACAAAGGCCTCAGGACAACTTGGCGAATGGTATTTTCTGCTATAACTGTGGCGGTCGAGGACACACTATTCCTGAATGCCCGTCAAGGAGGCGACAACGTCAGCAAACAGGTAGGTTCACATCACGTTTTCTAAGATCGCGCAGCCCTAGATTTCCTTTCCGTTCTCGTTCTCCAGCTTTTAACCGTAGAGCTTCTCCTAACTTGCTTAGTATTTCGCCTCATTCTAATAGTGAATTAGAAGATGCGCGTAAGCAGATTGAATCTCTATCTCTATCCCTGAAACAAAATCAGGCAGCTCTCGAAAACTCTAACGCTCGCATTTCGGCACTCGTGCAACGGAACGAAGAGCTTGCCCACTCAGCTTTTGGTCATTCCTCTACATCATCTTCCATGTCTACTCTTCCTAAAGTTAACGCTTTGTTTTTCGCTTCCATTGTCATGTCTTGCTGCATCTTCTCTGCTTACTCTCAGCCTGTGTGGCTGTGTCCACACGATAAATCTGATCCACTTAGTCATATCCCTCTTACATATAACTGCTCCTATCTAATTCCTAACATAACTAATCCCCCTGTGCGCGCTACTCTTCATGTTTACCGACCTAATTCCAAGCGCTACGACACTCCAGCTACTTTGTGTAGAATAGTAGAGCAGTCGGTAACTTATTCCGTTAACTTTTTCGGGGCGCGCCATCAAACACATACAGAAACCTATAAGACCGTGACAGTAGAACATTGTAGGCAGATGAAACAGCACCATAAATGCGAGTTTGGGGCTATGCGTCCGGCAGGGGAATCTTTTAAGACAGATAATCCTCTCACTTTTGAATTTCCCTCAGCGCCTTTTGGTTGTTGCTCGGACCATCACCTAACAGTAACTAATTGTTACCTAACCCCTACAATGGTGCATGCGCGTCACGGGTCCCAGTTTCCCGACACCGCGGTCGGTGATCTCCGGCATTGCTCGTACAAGGATGGTTTTTGCACGCTTAAAGACGGGTCGGTGCTACTTTGGACCCCAGCTCAGGAAGAACTTTGCGCATATATTCCCATCTCCAAAATGCGCGGCCACTTGCTAGGAAACATTTGGATAAGCGATTCGAAAGAGTTTGCTTTATCTTGGCGCAGTGACAGTTCTACTCTAGTTGACTGCGGCAATTCCCTAACAGTTACCGACCAGGGTTATGCAATTGCTAAAGCTAAGCGATTAGCACGTTCCACGCAGACACAAGTAGGGATAGTAACATCTAATCAACTCGCAGCACAATTGCTAGCCGTAGAGGATAGCGTTCAGAGCTTTCTCACCACTCTCTTTCACCATGCTTTGGCTTCTTTGTGTGATCGTACCAATACTCTTGCTTTCTCGCTCCACTCTTCTCTCAAATCCGATCCAACTCATACCGTGCGCAAGTTAATTAACCGCGTTGACGTTGCAGCTTCTTACTTAGGGAATGGTTTTGTGCAAATCCATAATTGTATGCGTATTCCTAAGGCTATCGTATTTTACCTTTCAACTCTACATGCTATACCAAACCCCAAGTTCAGTTGACTTTGCCTAGTGGGTCATCTTGGGTCACCTTCATTGATCCTCATAATTGGGTACTTACTTCCAACGCTAATCAGTTACCTTGCGCCAAACTCCGCCCCTTTTACTTCTCTCTTCCTGATGGAGTTCTCCAGTATGATGCACCCTCCCACTCATTTTCTAAAATATCTAATCAACACATTCATAATATCTCATTGGCTTCTGTTCCCCATGACGTTAATTTCATTCCATCTCTTACAATCTTTCATAATCTAGTGCTGACGAACTTTAGCGAGCTCGTGCAAGAGCATCAGTTACAAGAACTTTGGACAGCTCAGAACTTTCACAAACTTATTGGTACATTAGGTAATAATGATTACTCTTCTCAAGTTTCTCCTGACTCCCAATCTGGTAGCAGCTCTTCCCTTCTAATTGCCCTGATAGGGTTTTCTCCGTATAATGCATGGATAACTATTTGCTGCGCAACTGTGACTTTAACAATTCTCAAGAAGTTACTTCTTTTGTACATCAACGTATCCTATGCTGGTATTATCTCACGTATAGCTCCTTCTAATTTGCGCACTCCGTTGCGTCCGCTTCCTTTTATTTGTCCATCCTCTAACAACCCAATTCCTATACCTTCTTTGGCGAATACCTTAGAGGAACAACCCATCGAGCTTACTCGTCTTGCGCTAGACTCTTCGCACGCATGGCCACCTAAGCTAACAATGGCTCCGGTTCACGTCTTATCCTTGTATGATAATACCCATTTCTTTGTGGCGCAAATTCCTATCAAAGCGAACGGTATATCTGTTAGGCCTTATTGACACTGGCGCTGCTATCTCCGTCGCAAGCCGCGAATTAGCTACCTTGCTAGGTATCTTCCACTTCGAGCGCAGCTCAGTAGACACCGCCATCGGGATGGCGGGCATACCCATAGGTCTCCTAGGATGCGCGCGTCTTGATCTCCAGATAGGGTCATGTCACATCTCTGCTGCTGTACACTTTACTGATGAATCTTCAATCCCTCATCACCCAGCCTCTTTTAACCTCATCCTAGGTAATAATGTATTGTCTCAACTCCCACCTTGGTCCATCGACTACACAAATCATACTTTTACTATTAATGGCGAGCAAATCCGCATTTTTGGCACTGTGTCGCAACGACTGCAAGCGGAAGTAGAAGGAGATGTTATCGTTCGTGTTTCAGAAACAACACCTTTACAACCCGGAACCGAAACGTATGTGCCGTGCTATACTTCTTCGAGTCCCACGGTACCGGTCATGCTGGTGACGCAATCCGAGGACCTACTCCAGCGCTCGCTACTGATTTCTCCTACTGTATTCACCGCAGGTACGATTCACCTATTAGTTTCAAATCCTACTAGCAGTCCCCAAGTGTTATATAAGAATCAGAGAATTTCTACCGCGGTTCCATTAGTTGAGGAGAATGGGGTGCTTTCGGACCCTCGGTGTTTTTAGCATGAGTTTGTTTGCCTTACAACCTCTTGCTGCGGCTGATCGCTGTCCCTTTCCAGAACCCAAAGCTGATTTTGTTGTTGACCTTAGCAGGTCCGAAGTTTCTGACAAAGAGAAAAAGAGCAGTTACAAGCTCTCTTTTACGAGTTTCGCGATAGGATATCCCAAAGTTCCTATGACCTAGGTTCATACGATTGCGAGGCAATCCACATTAAGACCACTACCGAAATTCCTCCTACCAGGTTCCGACCTACCCGTATCCCGGTCAAGTTCCAGAAGGAACTTGACGACCACATTAACAAATTGTTGAAAGCCGGTAGGATTAGGGAGAGTGATACCCCATGGGTTCATAACATGGTTTTGGTTGAGAAGCGCGACGGTACCCTTCGCGTTTGTCTCGATTTTCGCCCACTAAACGACATTACCATCCCCGACCACTACCCTTTACCCCGTATCGACGATATCCTAGAAAAGATTGCGGGTAACAGGTATTATACATCCCTTGACCTAGCATCTGGGTACATGCAACTTCTACTTTCACCAGAGAGTCAAGCCAAATGCGGTTGGGCAACGCACCGCGGAATTTACCAGTTCGTTTATCTCCCCTTTGGACTCAAAAACGCCGGAGCGTATTTCTCTCGTGCCATGTCCCGTATCCTAGCCGGTTTGGAAGAGAATTGCTTGGCATACCTGGATGATATTGTCATCTTCGACAAGGACTTCCCAAGCCACCTAAATTCTTTGCGTAAAGTATTCCGCCGCTTTCGTGATTTCGATATCAAAGTATCAGGCAAGAAACTGGTTGACATCGCGCGTTCCAAAATCACATTCCTGGGGCACGAAATTTCAAGAGATAGCTACTACCCTTGCGATAGGAACATTCAAGCGGTTAAGCGCCTCCCAACCCCTTCTACAGTCAAAGAAGTCAAATGCTTTTTGGGAATGGTTAATTTCTTTCGAAAGTTCATACAAAATTTCGCCGCCATAGCAGCACCCCTGTATGAGCTAACCAAGGACAAAGCAAAATTTGAATGGGGTCCGCGCCAGCAGCAAGCCTTTGACGAACTACGGAATAAACTCATAACCAAGCCATGTTTGGCGTTCCCTCAAGAACGTGATTTTATCCTCCACACGGATGGTAGTCAAGTTGCCGTAGGCGCCGCACTATTCCAGCAAGCAGCCAGCGATGAGAAATCCCTATTAGCTATTGGCTATTATAGTAAAGCTTTATCCCAGTCTCAACAAAAGTGGAGTCCCACTCATATAGAACTTTTTGCAATGGTAAGCGCTCTTCGTTTCTTCAAAGCTACTATTTACGGTCATTTGACCCGTATTTTCTCTGACCACCGCCCCCTGACGTATCTTCTCAAACACAATAAGACCCATGATAATTTAGCGCGATGGGTAATAGAGTTGCAAAGTTATAACATAACCATAGAATATTTGAAGGGATCATCAAATGTTGTGGCCGATTGCCTTTCACGATCAGTCAACCCTCAGACTCAGTTTCAGGATAACACCCCAGAGTCTGAAGACATAGTAGAATTTCCTATGTGTCTAGCGGTACAAGGTTATTGTTTGCGTTCTCTCCAACCAACCAATTCCTCCCTTGTTACTCCAATTGCGATTAAGCCCTATGATGCCTTACTAGAGCAGAAGCGCGACCCAGTTTGTAGCCCTATCATGTCGTTCCTGGAAACAGGACAATTTCCCGAAAATGTCTCGGAAACAGATAAGGCCCTATGGCTTCGCTTAGCTGAAGATTGCCACCTACGCGCAAATGGTTGTTTGTACCATCTTACCAAGTCCCCCCAGCGCCCCGACGCCGTTATAGAACAACTCTTCTTACCAGAAAAACTCCGTGAACCAGTCTTTCACGCAATGCACACCAGCGCTACAGCTGGCGGACATTTTAATTGGCGCAAAACTTTAGCGAAAATCGCGCGAAAATACTTTTGGCCACATATGTCCGAGCAGATTTTCGCTCTCTCCAAAGCGTGTGATTCCTGTCAACGCAAACGCGCCCAGGCACTCAATCGCGAGAAATTACTCCCAGTAGTTACCACAACCGTATTCGATAAGGTTTACATGGACCTTACCGGCCCTTTACACACCTCCGAGTCAGGTAATAAGTACGTGCTGGCCCTGTTGGACCACTTCTCCAAGTATGTTATCACAGCACCCTTACCGGATTGCAGCGCGGTCACAGTAGCTCACGCCATTATGACTGAATGTATACTCAAATTCGGTGTCATGACGCAGCTTATTTCAGACAATGCCTCCTACTTCAAAGGAGAGCTCATATCCGAGATTGGACGGTTGCTACGCATTGGACGATATTTCACTACCCCGTATCACCACGAAGGCAATGGAGCTTGTGAGCGTATTTTTGCTACTTTTCATCCTATGCTTCGTACTTATATTAATGAGAATCAGACTGACTGGGACAAGTTTGTGCCAGCCTGTGCCTTTATGTACAATACTTCTGTTCATACTAGTACTAATAATACTCCTTTCTTTTTGATTTTTGGACGTGATCCTGTTTTTAACATTGATTTGCTTATCAAACATGATTCTCAGAGACACACGCCTACTGATCAAGACTCTAGTATTTATCTCGAGAACTTAGTAGCTACTCTCCATGCCGCTTGGCGCGCTGCCGCCAAACATAACGAAGTTCAGCGCAACAAGTTCAAATCTCAGTTTGATAACACGCATCTCTCTCCGTTATCCATTAAAGTTGGCGATCGAGTCTATTTACGCGATTTTGCTCCTAAGGTTGGACTTTCTGCTAAGCTAGCTTATCCTTGGTTAGGACAGTTCCGCGTTTTGGAAGTTAATCATCCTCATCTTACCATACTTAGCATTACCGCACCACAGTCTAAACCTAAAATCGTTCACATGAATCAAGTCAAGCGATGTTTTGAACTTAGTGGTCCTGTATTTACTACTCCTTGGCAGCCAGAGCCTGAACAATTAGCCTTAACTCATTATCAAGCCATTGATACTGATCTGGTAGGATATCAGCATCAAACTCTAGCTGATCATCCACTGATAGAATCTGAGCCGCCCCATCACATCCGTATAACACCCGCTTTAGATCACGAAGAACATCATTTTAACCTGTTGGTTGCCCTCCCAGTATTCGATATCATTCACATGTGGATTCAGAATTATTTCTTCCCAACACGTTTCATTTTTACAAACACTTGTTATTTCATCACAGATTTTCTTATGTCCTCCTCATTACAGTTCTCGCGTATAGTGTTCACGTTTATTGCCTACCGTCGCCTTATAACCTCGTGTTTTTCGCTCACCGTCGCATCGTTCGTCTCCCTGACATCAGGCAGATCACAATATTTATGCTTGCAGATAAGCTTGGCGAAAAGCCCCTTGCGTTCATATGCTAACTCCAGACGCAAACGATCCTGGTCCCGGGCAGCCTGCTAAGCCTAGTGCTAGCCCTGCTGGGCCCTCACCGGTGACATCCTCGTCAGGTTTGTTTAGCTTTCGCAAGCCGTGACTCGGCATGCTTTCAAGTGATCATAAGATTCCCTTTCCATACAATTCTTCGTTTACCTTCTGCTCGTATAATTGTGACGTTCTGTCGTTTAGGATTATCTGGCAAGACTATGGAACGCGACACGACAGTTACTTCTACTCCAGCCGCACGCATGGAACAACTGACCGCGCCTACTCATGTGCCACTCACCTCTGAGCCGAGAGAAATGGAAGCACTGATGTCCACTTCTTCCACCAGTGCCGAGCGTGAATCTTCCTCAACCTCTGATCTTGGGGTCCCCGCACGCGAGGAGCATGACAGCGAATGGCTTTGGCTTGAAGATCGTCTTGACCAGTTTGATAGCTACATTCGTGATCCTCGCGCAGCGAAGAAGCGCATGGCTCATCTCTTTAGAGTTGCTTGTTCAGCACTCGCTGCGGCCGAATCGTCTACTGAAGAACCTTGAGCGGAATCTCATCCTCTCATACGCCCTGGCAGTTTCTCGCTCGTTATCGACTTCTTGCGAGTACCTGATGGTGCTTACCCAGTTCTTCCTCTCAAGACAACGTTATTCTCCTCACCACCCGAACTGATTTTGAGCCTACTTCTGGCGAGTTCCTAGATGACCAGAAACGTATGAATGTTGCGCTCACCCGTTCCCGCCAAGGTTTGTTCGTGCTGGGCCATACTGATTCACTTCGTCGCATTAACTTCTGGAACCGAGTGTTGGCCTGGGCCGAAGAACGCCACGCCGTGGTACCTGCTGCTCAACTGGACCAGTATCTTCCTCCTGGACAACGGTGGGATTTTCACCATTAGCTCTCTTTATATATATATTTACACCTTCATTATATACTTCGTTGTTTTCTTTATATCCATACATACTATTTGTTTATATTTTATGATATGCTACACCTTTACTTATACACTTCCGTATATAATTCTTTATATAATTCTTTCATATACTTTGCTTACATACTTTTTCTTAATTAGAAGTCCGAGGACGGACTTGTTGGTAAATAAGGGAGGTGTAAGGGAGATGCTTTTGCATCTCCGTTTGCATCTCCGATGGAATGCCAGAAGACATGATTCATATGTTTAGGGCGTGACCGACGATACGAAGCCTCGAGGAGTCGCTCCTTCGCCCCGACACCGACCGGCCGTCCTACTGTACCCCTCCTCGTCTCCGGCTGATGCTGTTCCGATCCAGTACCTATCCAATCTCCAAGCTCAACTACTTCACCGATGATCTCCTATTCTCGCATATTCATATACTGTCCTCTGTCTACATTGATGCCTTAACGATAAACTACTAAGTACTGATCGGTGTTCTGTTCTTGCCAGCCAGGAGCACGCCTCCACTGCCGCTACGCTTACTCCACGCATTCTGGGAATAGAGAACTCGAAACGCTTTTGTATGGGAGACGGGCGATTCGCACGGACCACAGTGTTCGCTTCCGGACCGTCAGGGAAAGCTCAGGCAAATTGGACGAGTCCCCCACTTGAACGTTGCCTTTGGCTGCTAGCCAATTAGCAGTGGGGCACGTTTGCAATCAATCAATTAAGCGTCAGCTGGCATTTGTGAAAGGGCTTTGTTAACACAGTTATCATCTTTTCGCTTACATGTTTCTAGTTGAACTTCTTCTCATACATCGGAGACATTTGCGATTCTGTTTTTAACTTCCAGACTGATTCGCTGTGAAGAATTCTTAGAAGCGGCCTGTATGGAACGATACACTGCGAGGACTCTGGTGGCTCTCGTCAAGGATCGGCGTGCACTTTGAGATGCACGTACGAGCAAGGAAAAAACCATGTACTATTTCCGTGAAATCGCCAGCATCCTTTCAAATCAGGACGAGCGAATGAACGGTATTCAACACTTTTTTTCCTGAGAGTACGTCTTCTACTTCAACTTCCAAGTAATTTTGCATGATTATGACATCTGCCTTTTAGTCAGTTTTGTTTGAAGAATTTGCTTCCGTTATTTATTTGATCACAAAAACTTTTGGTGGTGTTGCTGTTTGTATTGGCCGAAGAATATTTCATGGATTGATTATGACTGTTTCGATTGAAAGAAGCATCACTACTCTTTTGAACTTGCGTGTTAGGTAGTGCACAATTTTTTTTTTTGAATGGTCTGTGCTTGACAAGTGGTGTTGGATGGTAGAGAAGTACATGCGAACTGTTGAGCGTCCATCGTTAGACTGGCGATTCAAGGGAGCTATGGCGTTTCATAATGAATTTGCTGCCAATGGTGTGCAATACATAGGGTATGTGCTGATTCTGACCTTTATATGCTGCACTATAAATTTAGATCACTTACTACTGAGATACTCGTAGAAATGACGGCTGTTTACGGCGAAACGGAAACAGAATCTCAGGAGATCAAGGTGAATATCACTGTCTCTTTAAAACGCTTGGTGTATTAGGCACAGTTGGAAATGCATGGAATTTTCTGCGATTTTTGAATGTTCTGACGAGTTCTATGAGCGAAACATTCTGCAGTTGGACCTGCTCCTCTATCTTGTTGATGCGTGGCGTAGTTGTAGGCTAGTGGAATCACTACATTTGGCTATGATGTAAATTGATATTTCCTTGAGTTTTACAGCTTCTGTTGCATCGTTTATAGTTGAATATATAAAGGAGATTCCGGTATTTTGGCATCCCCATCATCCCCAGCACTGCAATCCGATCGTACGAAATTTCTACAAACTGAGTGAGCCTTTGCCCTCAACTCAATATCGCAGCACTCCGTACCGCTGAGACAGTAAATGTCATCTAACCAAGTGCTCAATAATCACCCTATCAACAAAGCGTTTCGAGAGGAGATAAAAAATTTTCAGGTTACGCCAATTTTATCATAATTTGCAAGAAAGCGGTATCACATCAACACAGATAACTCGATCAACTATTAAAATTCAAAGATAAAAAAGGGTTACTAAATGGACAGATACGTAGATGAGATCAAAATAAGTTTATAGTACATAGTATTTTACATTTTTGACTGAGAAAACAATAATCGAGTACGAGCAATCATATGCACAGGACATATTAACAACACAAACCGTACAGACGATGAGGTATCAGCATGACTAATGCATTACATTGGTGCGACCATTTGATAGCAGTTCAACCAAATGCGCAATCAGCCTCTGAAACAGGTGTTTGTAATTTCGCTCTTCTAACATTCGCAATGATTTCAAAATGTGGTCTTTTGTGCTATGTGTTAGTACAAACAAGGCAAGAAAAGGAAAAATATTTTCCCAAAAGGTAAAATAACCACGGATTCTAAAAAGAAGTGAATGACCACAAAGCATAGCGATAGATGGATGTGCGCGGTATTCCTTTCTTATCGACTATCAGCCCCAGTTTTTACTGACAAAAGATGCGTTATACCACACTACATTGACTGACTAGGTATATGAGCTGACTAGTAGAATGGGTGAGACGATTGATGGGAAGAGGCACTAAATTCGAGTAGCAGGAACACAAATGTATAATCAAAGTAGCCCAATGAATGAAAACCAGCAAAATCATGCGTGCAAATTACATTTAAAAATCTAGTAGCAATTTGCAATTAGTGGCTTCCTATAGAAAATATTCAGAAAAGAAATGTGAAAAAATGACAGATTTCAGAATATGCTCAGGAATAATAGGAACTTACCACTCCCAGGTCCTACGAATGGGATCAAGGTGCTCAATAGCGTGACTGATTGATTGACCACACGACACTTACGACCATCGCCGAACCAAACAGTATTGTTGCTGCAGAGAAATTTCAGAATTTCATCAGAAAAAAAATATAGGAGGAAAGGAGAATAACATTCCTCACCTCGTAGACGAATTCATAAAGTCTATCGTCAGCAGTGAAAAATATCCCCCTTATTGGTGGGCACAATGTCATTCAAGGAACAATTATCCAGAGCAATCTATTTCAAATTCGTATGATCATTTGATGAACATAAGCTGTAGAACTTACCTTGAAAAAATGGCTGGCATCAATAGCTATACGGGATCGGCCATACTAATCCTGATGATTCCTGCGACACCTGCGACTCCTGCGACTCCTGTGATTCCCCACAGTTCTATGATGCCCGCATGGTCTAGGCGCCGCTTAAACGAGCGCATTCTGCGTTTGTCATTTGGTGCCGCGTAAGGCAAAATCGAATGATTCAGTATATTGCTGTGAACGTGTTTTTTTCTAATTGTAGGCATATTCACACCTCGTAATTAATATGAAGATGTTTAGAGGTGTTAACGAACGATACACTTGTTTCAGATCTTGCGTTCCACCGAAAACAAGTGTTGCCTTTACTACATTACTTATGTCGCCAGCGTGCATGCAGTGAATGTTGTTGAATGCTCAGCACCAGGTATGTCCAAATTTTGTGAATGCTGTGTTTTTTGTTTTCTCCGTCACAAGGAACTCTGTGGGAATGCATCTTGTTCTCATGGCGAAATGATGCAGGGTTGTGTTGACGGAACTCTTTTCGTGACTTTCCCGATTCCGCTATCTTTCATATGCCATCGTGTGTAGAAACGCTTCTCATGCTTTTATTTACCTTTTACCTGTATAAACATGGAGGTGGGCTGGTATCCCAGTTAGCTCTTCTATTTTCAGCCTAGTAGCGAAGAACAACCGTGCGCAGAAGAGCATAATTGGAAGCGATGCTTGCTCAATGCCCAGGTAAGCTAGTCTTGAACTAATTGCGCATGTTCTTTGTGTTTCTGAGAGTATATGATTGAAATCAAGTTCAAAGCAAATATCTTTCTCCCGTCACCAAACTTTCATTTGCTCATGCTTGGCGGACTTACTGAGATCCAACGATGCTAATTTCTAGATCCACCGAGAACACTATAAACATTAGGTCACTTCATTTTCAAGTTAAGGATGACTGAATTGTTGTGCAAAGTATCTGTTCTTACACCTGCTGTAGTGTGGCTAGTACTCAGAATAAGAGATTTAATATTTAGGGAATCGCCTCATTATTCTCACTTGCTTCAGACAAATAGCTGGCTGGATCACTTCAAGGAGTAGTGTGCTGGTATGTTACTTGCTTTTTTATTCTTGTGACGTTTTTTGGATATATTTCCTACTCGATACTCATAAGCAAGCCGTGTAGTATTCACTTATAGGTTCGTATTAGAAAGACAGAGTGGGTTTATGTTCAAGGACGGAGAAATCTGTGGTCGCATAACAAGCATCTTAGCATGGGACAATCCAAAATGATTCTCTACTTATGACAATGTAAGTTTGTACTGCAATCTACTATCTTATCATTTATCAACGCGAGTTCCTTTAGCACTGAACATTTTTGCTGTCAACTATCTGACTGCCCGAAGTATCGAGGGGAAGTCGCCGTAACTCGTGGTGGTTCTTTGCCACCGTAGACCTTTTGCTTGATAAGCAAACCCCGTTTCTTCAACCGTGATTTTTGGATTGATTGAATAAAGATAACAATGTGATGAATGATGTAGATATTCTCATGGCGGCATTACTTTTGTTCAGAATAGTCGAAAGAGTTTGCGATGATGAAATTCTGAATGAAGATTTTGCTACTTTTTTTGTCTGTATCATGTGAGGAAACATTTTTTTCGCTTTTGCTAACATTACACCTCGCCTTGCTTCAACAGTGTTAGTTCTTCGGCCATAAATGGAAGGAATACAATTACAGCTTTGACTAACCTAGGATCTTTTTCATCAGAGAACCTGTCTTTTTGTCTGCGCCATCTCTTCTAGGGTTTTAGCAGACTCCTTTTCAGCTGTTACGAAATGTGAATAGATAATTTGCTCCCAGTGTATTTGAGCTTTATTTCGGAGAATACCTTGATGTCGGAGGAGGGGGCGAACTGCAGTGACATGTGCATGCATCGCGTTCGTAACTTTGTAGTGTAGCGTAGTCATCCTTCAATTACATTGTATGTTGCAGAATGAGCTACGAATCATTATCGAATCTTTTGGGAAGTTTGGAGTTCTTGTACGCTATGAGCGAGCCTACTGCAGGCCAGATATCTCCGCGGCAGAGGCGGCAGTATGTGCGGCAAGAGCACATTCGATTCATTGAAACTCGCTTCCGCATTTTTGACGAATACCTGGTTACGAGGAGGCCTGAGGGTTTTCTCGAATTCATCAAGCTCTTGCCTGATGAATTTGAGGACCTTTACGAAAGAATAGGAAGTGGGTTAGAGCATCCTCGTACCCATCTTGGTCCAGTAACCGGCCGTCACAGACTGATGATCTACCTCAGGTGAAAGCTTGGGGAACTGATAACGTGAACTAAACCGCTAATAACATGCATTGTCCCTTCAGATTTGTAACGCAGAGGAGGACTTTCACCGCTTATGCTTTGGACATAGGAATGGGGAAAACAACAGTATCGAATGTGGTAGAGGAAGTGGCAGAAGCCATCATAAGGGGTATAAGCAGAACGCTAGCTATATACATTACCACCAATCGTGATTCAGTTCTGCATAATGTTGCTTTTCCACCTCTAACACGTGCGAGACTAGAGGAAGTAGCCAGAAAGACACAGGCACGGTTTGACTACCCCAGGGCAGTGGGGTTCATGGACGGCAAGCACATAAATATCCAGGTTCTCAGTGCTTATGCAAGATGTATACAACGACAGTGTGTGTTTAGAAGCCCGCCCGCTCTGGAAGTATGTACTGGAACTACAAGCATTACCACTCGATCATTCTCCTGGCAATATGCGATTGTGATTATCGCTTTATGGCGTACGACGTTGGAGCTCCTGGTCGCCGTGGTGATGCTGGCGTGTTCCGGAATTCCGCTATCAAGGTTTGGTTCGCTAATGAGAAAATACGGAGTTTGATTCGGGAATTCAGAGATGGCTGGAACGTCACGATGACGTTTTTCCTCCCACGAGAGGGCTTGGGAGAGTGGGCCCTGTCCAATATCATTTCCTGGTGGACGGCGGCTTCGCTCAAGGGCCGCGATTTATCCGACCGTATAGAGAGCCCGAAACGACTACAGGAGATAGAAGGCGATTCAACCGACAATTAAGCGGGTAACTTATCACCTATCTGACATGAGGATGTGGAGGAATAGCGTTTAGAGCTCGGCATATGATAGAATCCACCTTTGGTTTGCTGGCCCAGCGTTTCCAAATTTTGATGACGCGGATGACCTTGACTCCAGAGCGAGCAAAGCGGCTGGTTGTTTCCCTCATGGTTAGTCCAGTTGACTATTGAACCGATTCCTGACATTGAGTTATTGAGCAATGGCTATAGATCCTTCACAACATGCTTCCCCGAAGACAGGACAGCTTGGCAGAAGTGGAGAGATTTAGACCTGCACAAAACGCGTACCATCCACTGAGGAACACGGATCTCCTACCAACAGGCGGTGCTGCGAGAGATCTTATAACACAATACTACGTTGATTTATACGGTCATGAAAGATGAGACTTGGGTATTGTCTTAACCCTGGGAGAAAGCCTTACTTCCGCCTTAGCTGTCTTTTATATTGCCGCTTTTCCCCATCATCAGTAAGTGTTTTCGAGTATATCTTGTAAGAAGCCAAACTTCGGTCTGTAAATACATCTGCTTGCCTACAGTGTTTTCGTTCCTAAATAGTTCTCAACAGATACTCACGTGCCATTTATACGAACTGATGTTTATAATCACGATAAACTTTTACTTCTTCTTGAAATCCAAAACTGTACAAAATCTTTGAAAAAATGTGAACCGTATCGTATCAAACCGTATCGTATCAACCGTAACAACCGTACTTCACCGAGATCCAAGAACTAAGAATCTTGCTAAAGAGTCTATCGAATGCTTCTCAAAGTGTGGAACTGCTAATGGTACTGGTAATAAAAAAAATGAAAAGTAAACAAACTACTGATAACGAAAATGAAAAGTAAACAAAGAAAATGCACTCAAAATCATTCTTCGGGAGATGGTTCTCTTACATTGTCTTCGTAGTGCTTGACTACTTGGATTGGGAGACTGCTCTTAGATCGATATGCCTCTTCCACGCACTGGCGAAACTCCTCCGGTGTAATGACATGTCTAACTTCTGTCACCAGAGACGTTACTATGACATGTATCTTCTCTTGCGCTTTCGCATCGCCCATATCTCTCAGATTTTGAGCCACGAAAACACCTGAAAACACCGAATAGCTCGATCAGTTGTGCCTGGAAACTCACCAAACGTATCGTATTTGTCATTCTTTTTGACCGCCTCCACCATTTCTTTAACCGTGTTTATCGCATCGCGCAGAGCAACTCTATCTGAAACCGAGCATAGTGTTGAAGAATGAGTGGAGAAGTATCTTACCTTCATCACACATGTCAACCATTCGGGATCTTTTCGGGGTAATCTTTCTCTTTTCAGAAGGCTGTCCAAGTAGCGGTATCTCGATTTCTTCAGCGGGCCTCTTTCGGTTCGTTGATTCGTATTGAGAACTAGTCGATGGAAAATCTGAAACAGTTCCGATGTATTGTGTAAGAAGAGCAGCAGAAGAGCTCTACCGTTTTCGTCGTTCACGTGCTCCTCATCGCTCAGATTTAAATTCGAAACTCGCGGCCTGAAATACAGCAAACTTCATCTTCAGAATCAGTGGCGTTGGAGAGACGTACGCGTCCACTTCAGCTTGATCCAGAAATGTCAGATATTTGAAAATTCCTGTGCGGGTGGCTGCTTGTCCTGATTTTCCTTTACGGCACTTCATGTAGCCGCTGCGCATGGCCTTCCATTTCGCTTTCACATCATCTACTGAAACGAATCTTGATAAAGCTGAAGAAAAAAGTATCTATCAACTTACAATCAGCCGCAATACCACGTTCAAGCAACAAATCGACAATTTTATTCCATGTGGCTGCGCGCACGTCCTTATCGTGATAGTCATCATGCGATGGCAACCATAGGCTCGGATGCTTTTCCACTAAAATCGCAATGTGTTCCCTGATGTTCATCCTGCCTGCAAAACAGAACTTTGAGATAAGGAATCACATAAATGTAAATGCAAATCACGACATGAAGTTGTAAATGTAGGCAGAGCTAACATCGCGACTCAAAGTTGTAATGCAAATCACGACATGAAGTTGTAAATGTAGGCAGAGCTAACATCGCGACTCAAAGTTGTAATGCAAATCACGACATGAAGTTGTAAATGTATTAACATCACGACTTAGAGTTGTAATGCAAATCACGACATGAAGTTGTAAATGTAGTGAGAGCTAACATCACGACTTAGAGTTGTAATGCAAATCACGACATGAAGTTGTATGTAAAGAGAGCTAACATCTCGACTCAAAGTTGTAATGCAAATCAGACATAAAGTTGTAAATGTAGAGAGAGCAAACATCACGACTTAAATTGTTATGCAAATCACGACGTGTAAATGTAGTAAAGGCAACACTTGTTTTCGGTGAAACGCAAGATCTGAAACAAGTGTATCGTTCGTTAACACCTCTAAACATCTTCATATTAATTACGAGGTGTGAATATGCCTACAATTAGAAAAAAACACGTTCACAGCAATATACTAAATCATTCGATTTTGCCTTACGCGGCACCAAATGACAAACGCAGAATGCGCTCGTTTAAGCGGCGCCTAAACCGTGCGGGCATCATAGAACTGTGGGGAATCACAGGAGTCGCAGGAGTCGCAGGTGTCGCAGGAATCATCAGGATTAGTATGGCCGATCCCTACCAGGTCTTCCAGTGACAGGATCAACTTCCATAATAACAGGGTATAAAAAGAGATCTGTGACGGTACTCACAACCAAACCGTGAGTGATAGGGACTATAAAATGGATAAAAACAACATCATGGTAGCAAAGGAGAAAGCAAAAGACTTCAGATTTTACCCGTGCTAATGCAATTTTCAGTACAGTGCTTTCCACAGCATCAAAACAAGCCAGATAATCACTAGAAAAAAATCAAACAATGATATTCGAAAAGGCAACACCTCTTTCACTTACTTCGTGTCATAATTCCACATAAAAATATCACTATTCATAACAATCTAAGCTCGTGCGATTTCCGGAAACAGTCCCATGCTGAACTGAGATCGCATGTCTAAATAGTTGTCTAAATCAGCCTACAAAAATGTGTTATCAAATGCTACTTACTTCTGATTTGATATGCAAGCTCTTCTGGCATCGGCAATCGCCGTGTCAGAACAAATTCGAGACCAGCCTTAGTATAAAATCTATCACCTAGCCCGGAAACAGGACAAGTGCCTAAAGATGCGCACGTGCATTTTGAGACTGAAAACACTGAATTTACCATTTTGAGTCAACTTATTGTAGATATCGACAGTGTTTATAGTGTCCTCTATGTGGTTGGCAACCCGTTGAGCTGCGCTCTCCATGGAATCGCCACTTCTATGAACGAGGTACTCATACCTGCAAGAAAAGCTACGCTTGAGTAAGAGCAATAATGAAGATCAGCAAGCTAGAATAGTGACATGCAAACACACTGAGATGGGCGCAGATACATTTATTGTGATAACACCGCTAGTTTCGCCACAAGCAGTTTCGAAAATCTTTTCATGGAAGAGATAGTCATCGTGTTGCAAAATTTGTAGTGTATCCACATAATTTAGCAATGACAGCGTTATTTTAAGCAAACAAAACTGACTTCAAAGCACTGATGAATTAGCGGTGCTGAAAACGAGAATGATAACTTTGAAGGCGAAATTTGACAAAAGTTATGAGATAAAAAAAAGATTTGTTGTCAAATGTACTAATACTTGCGAAGCTGTAAACTACAATTGGAATAAAATAAATGGGTAGAAACGGTGAACAGATGGAGACAGATTTGTGTGCTGCAGAAAAAATGTGATAAACCTATTAACCTATTAGTAGGTGATCTGGCAAGTTATCATAGGAGAAAACGTGAAAAATAGCACACAAAAGGGATGTAGATGTCAAAGCGAATTATCAAAATGTTCAAGTGATGATCACTTTGTAGAATTAAAATTAGAATTCAAGACTTCCTGCATGAACCGTGCAACCAGCAAGAACTGCAGCGACGCCATACAGCTCAGGCGCAACTCGTCCGCTTTGCCTGAGTTCACGCCTTGTTCCTGCAACGAAAGTCGAGGGTACAGTACTCGAGCGTGCGAAACGCCATACACCCCTTTTGTATCTATAGGGGCCTGCAGGATCGCGAGAGTCGGACGTGCGTACGGCCATTGCGCCACGCACGTCTGATGTCGCTAAGGCAGGTACCAGATCTATCCGCTTCAACCGGTTTGTTCGGTTCATAGGTCAAATCACTATACTGTCCGACAGAAAAGTTGGTGCACCGAATGAATCTGTTGAACAGGGTAAGTCTGGCACCTACCTGAGTCGTCGGATGCGCATCTGACGTGCGCGGCGCAATAGCCGTACGCACGTCCGACTCTCGCGATCCTGCAGGCCCCTATACAAGTTTTCTAAACATGCTCGAATTGGTTTTATCCAAGTAGTCTATCACAAAAACGAGATATGTCAAAAGTGTGAAATTGAAGCGTTCTTGAATCTCAGTCTTGGAGTGACTGATACTTACAGTCGGCTCCATGTCAGGAGTCACGCCGCGCGCCGCGCCGCTTCGCCGCGCACGTCGCGTCTAAATTTTGTACCCCATAAAACTGCCCGGTGCTAAAGTGGCACGGCGCCAATCTAGAGGGGTGGGGGGTAAGGGCAGATTCATGGCTCGTGCCATAAGTAAGACTGCGCCAGGAGTGCTGGCTTCTGTTTTGCTGACATCGCTTGCGGCCTCGCTTCGCGAAAAATTCGCGCCGACCGTGACTCCTGACCGTTCCCCAGGCGCCGCATCGCTTCGGGCTTGCGCCGCGTTGCTTTTCTCGCCACGCCACGCCAAACGAGCTTCTACTACGTGGCGCAGGCCCGAAGCGAGGCGGCGCCGCACCAATCCACGTCATGTTGAGGATGGAAGGCACGGTAGAAAAGACCAGTACGTATTAATCACGACTATATACACTTCTTGTCACTTGGACCTGCAGCTTTCTTCTTCTTATGGCTGCCAATAAGAAACATGTTCGGTAAAAAGCCTCTCGCTGTTTAAGCACAACAAACCATTACTTTCTTATCCGTGCTAAGTTCTTGAGGCACCATATCAATGAAAAATGATCTACAGTCGAGTAGATTTTCCGCTTAATATAGTGTGCTTGCACAGTTTATGAAATGCGGTAAAATTTGCGCGTGAAGAGGTAGCTGCGCCAATACTGCCAGTATTTTGCGCGCGCAATTGGCCGGCGTCACAATCGAAGCTATTTCCTCACGCTCAAATTTTACCGCATTTCACCTTCTGTGCAAGCACACTATATTAAGCGGAAAATCTACTCGACTGTACATGGCAAGAGATGAAAGATGAATCATCGCACGTTAAAAATGCACTTGTTTTTGTGATTCTCCTGCAGAAAGAAGTCGTTTTTCCTTCAGTGTCAATTGTCGCGTCAAAAGTTATAGGGTGTGCGCGCGGGTTCGCCTGGGTTCCGGCGCGGCAGATTTGCACTGGGACACGGGGCGCGCTCTTCGCAGCCATTTGTAACTATAGGTACGAGCCATTTTCGTGATTACGCATCTTGGGTAAAATCTCATATTTCGCATTTTTGTTGCATAGGGTGTCTGAAGTGAATAGTACGCCGGAGTTTCACATAGAAAGGATTCGCTCCAGATCTTCCCTTCCTGCAAAAAATCAAAAATCATCAGTACAGTCGAGTAGATTTCCTGCTTAATATAGTGTCCCTGCAGACGCGACAACGCTGGGGCGTCAATAAATGCCTTGCGAGTTCCAGCTAGTGTTTTCCAGTGTTTTCTTTGCTTATTTCATGCTTTTTAGGTGATTCGTTGCTGATAAAGAAGAAAAGGGTAAGTTAGAGAGTAGTTTCTGTGTTCTGAGAAGTTTTATTATCGCATATTCACAGATATCCACTGGAAGCAGTTCGCGTCAGCTTCTTGTCTATTTTTTGTCACTTCATGTCTCTTTCTTCTTGTGAGGTACTTCTTTGGACGCTAGTGGGTTTTTACGATTGACTTATTGTCCTTATCACATGAACTACTTGATTAAAATGCTATTTCTTATGGATGAAAGCCGAAGTTGCTGCAAGACAAGCCAACTAGCATTCAAAGAAACGCCTCACAAGAAGGAGGAGATTCAAAAGAAGAAGTGACAGAAGAAAAGGAAATGACAAAAAAGAAATAGACAAGAAGCTGACGCGAAATGCCTCCACGTGTTTTAAAAACCTGTGAATATGCGATAACAGAACTTCTCAGAAAACAGAAACTACTCTTTAACTTACCCTTTTCCTCTTTATCAGCAACGAATCAACTAAAAAGCATGAAATAAGCAAAGAAAACACTAGAAAACACTAGCTCGGAAACTCGCAAGGCATTTATTGACGCCCCAGCGTTGTCGCGTCTGCAGGGACACTATATTAAGCAGGAAATCTGCTCGACTGTACTAGGATACTATGGCAGGCGCCAGGCTCATCACCGGTCCATCCACTTCAATCACTTCGCTGTTGCTGCTCATATGCTCTTTGCTTTCGTCATTTGGCAGGTCTCGGCGCGGTTCGAACGGGTTCGGGCGGATTTGGACTGACAAGGTTTGAACAATGCCCTGCTGTAATTTTAGATGCATAGTACTGATAGTGACTGACATAGTATGAATAGAGAATTCACTGCACGCTGCATCCATTTTGGCGGCAAGGGCTGGCTGACTCAGGCAGAATCGCCCTTTAGTTGGAGGAATCTTCCAGTCCCTATAACAATTCTCAAGACTGGAGAATACTACTTCTTTTTCTAAACTCTACAAGCCTGAACACATCGAAAAATGCGGCCAAAGGACCCTAAACCACGCTGCCTGAAGGTATCGCGCGGCGTAAAATTCATCTTCCGAGACACAACGACGCAGCTGACGTGCTCTCTTGAAGAATCGAAAAAGGGCGTCAGTGATGGGGGGGGGGGAGGTGTGGTGCGGAAGGCGACAACCCCCAAATCCCGTGCCTTTCAAAATTCTTTGGTGCTAAAGTGACACGGCGCCAAGGTAGGGGGTGGGGGCAGATACACGACTCGATGCCATAAGTAAATCTTTGTAAAAAGTAGCAAGAGCGACTTCACAGTGCTTGCATTTTGCGCGCATTGTCGCCTTCCGCGTGCCCCCCCCCCCCCCCATCCCCCCAGTGGGGGGTGGGGGTACTTGGTAGAAATGTGGTTTTCGGCGTAATTTACCGTATTTCCGTAGTTGCAGCCTTTTAAATCCCACGCCTAAATGCGTAAATGCGACAGATTGACCGGTTCACTTTCATAGAACAGATACCTACAATCGTTTATCTTCCCATGGATTAATTTCTTCTTGTGATTTCGTGGTGAATTGTGAAGTCGTTCTGCGAATTCCTGCTACTGCTAAAGGACGTACGGTATATGCCCAACTTCCATCGGCTGCGAGATAACCTGCTCCAAACAAACGGAGCCCTAATCTAGTATAAAAACTATGTTTTCGACTATTTTGTAAATATTAGTTCGTACAAAGTATTTTCTTCAAACTTACTATTACAGAGTATCTGAAACTTTAATTACAGAGTTCCCTCTTCCCCACAACCTTAGAATAGCTTTTCGCTGCAGTCGTACGGTGAGATCAACTTCCTCGGCGATTCCAATCTATCATCATAATGATATTGGATAGGGTACCTATTTCATTTCTGACTTTTATGCTTGTATGCAGCACGGAAGTTGACATTATGTTTTTCTTGAATAAGTTCAGATGGATACCTTTTGTATTCATGTTCTCAGAGACCAAACTATAGAAAATGGTTCCTTATTCTAAAAATGGCGAGGACATCTATCTGTACGATAGAAAGGAAGGAGAATCTTTGAGGAGAACAGCAAAAGATAAAGAAGTACATGTTCAATGGACTTAAAGCGTGTGCCAGCTAAATCAAATTCATGTTTTAAATCAGAACAGATTATATAATTGAGGCAAAAACACTTTTTCTCAAAAAGAAAACACCAAGTTTCAGTGGCGCAATCCACTTATGCTGTACAGAATTCAGTGGGAACGGCAAAAATTTTGAGGAAAGTTAAAAATTCTACTTTTAAGTTTCGGAATCAGTATGCTGAATCCTCTTAGGGCAAAATACTTTTTCTTCGCTGCAGTACAGCTACCGTAGCTATGCAAGAAAGTATCTTTCTATTCACTTTGCAAATTATCTATCATTCCTGCCGTGAAAAATAATCCCACTGACGTGAGAATTCCACTTAAAAATACGTTTTTGATGTTCCTAAACGGAAAGAGATATCGAAACCTGGGAAAAACTTTTCGTGTGCCCTTCTTAATAGTCGTCTGAAGAAAATAAGTCAAAAATAAGATCTTCAAAGAAGATTAGGGCTCTGTTTGTTTGGAGCAGGTTATCTCGCAGCCGATGGAAGTTGGGCATATACCGTACGTCCTGCTAAAGGGGGGTCATAATTAGCTTCCGTGCTCACCGTGATTGTATGCGCTCTAGTGCTAACATTGATATTTTACAATTCTTGATTTTCACTTTTGAAAAAGCTTGGTCTCTTTCGCTCATTTCTGCTGGCATTGTATGTATCGTAATCCGTGACCAAAACTGTTTCAGATCTGGCCTTTGTCTGATTGGTGTTAGATTCACATTCTACTCATATCACGGTTGCGATGGCAACACAGGTTAGTCTAATTTTTCTCCGATTCGAGCAAAATAGAAATATTTTAGAGTAATGCTGAAGTCATATCATCTATGGAACGGCAGTATGCTGAACAAAAAGCAAAATTTGAGAAGTGGAAGCTTGATAACAGGTATCATGATGTTTTTGATTGCTGTGATTGCTATGTTTCGACTATATGTTTTCGTTATGAAATATGGCATTGTTACCATCTTCTTCCTTTCTTTTAGCCGACAAATCGGTACTGAATCTTATAACAAGTATGTGCAGCAGTTTCTGCAGTGGGAAAAAGAAGTATTTGAGAAGTAAGCTCGTTTTTGTCTTATTTTTGCTTAATTCAAGCAGTGATTGCTTTGAGGAAGGCAAGAGTCGCCGCGCTTGTTCAATCTGAGGCAGCTAATGCTATAGCTGGTCCTGCGAATGTGGACTCGATTTTAGGTAAGTCTGTGTCACTCATTTTGTCTTTTTTCCTGTAGTACGATTTCAGGACAACTGCTTGATGACGTGATGCCAATGGAATTCTTAATGGCTTTAGTGACTGTGCACATGAAAGACAACACCTTCTTACCATGTGTCATCGAAAATTTTAGAAAGGCTCAAAGTAAGTTTACCCGTTTTGTCAACTTCTCATCTTGTCCTCAATTAACAGTTTTTGATCTTTTTAAAAGCATTTTCTGGTTGTTTGTGTCTCTGTAATGTGAGCTCTATATATTTGATGTCTCATTCTGTTGTAAAAAGACAATTATCTTCCTCAACGACTTCAGGTGGTGAACTACCGGATCCTAAACTAATGGCTACTCCTCAGCATTACCTTCCTGCACTTGGTGAGTTAGTTTCTTGAAATTGCTTCTTGATTTGGTGGTCATTAGATTTTGAAGGCCAAGTTGTTTTCAAATTATCTCAGGTTTGCATCCTACTACAACATTTGTCGGTAAGGTTTCTCAACATTGTCTTTGGTAGTTATGGTCTCTATACCAGCGTCCTTTCTGAACTTGCTATACTTTGGACCGAGTTGAAAAATTCGACCATTGGATTACACGATTGAATGCTTTTCAAAATATTCAAAAGTCGAGTATTCGTGGTTTCTGAATCTGTTATTAGAAAATTTCGATTTCAAAAATCGTTGGCCGAATTTCGAATTTTTTCCGGATCTCGACAGTCATTCCAAAAATTTCGAATTTGCCTAAGTGTAATACGCATGCCTCTCGCGCTTTTGGCCTTCGCTTTGCTTTCAAGGCATCGAATGCTGTTGCTTCTGCAACACTTCAAAGGCAGCGAAATGGCCGCGTAGCGGAAGTAGTTCTGCGAAGAGTCTCAAGAAACAGGGTGGTTGTACTTGGTTGTTTTCCAAATTCTGGCGTGGATTTGTGAGACTAAGTGTCTTTACTTTGTTTTGGATCTGTTCATCCTCAGTGAGCGTTGATCATTCTTTGATTTATGACGGACACGCTTCTCTCAGTTTCCCATTCTTTTCATTTTCTCATTCTTGTTTCTATCTCACAAAAGACACATTCCAGCGCCATCTACAACGCAGTACTATCAACCTATAAGCACTGTTCAACACACCACAATGACTCTTCATCCCGGCGTTCCTACCCCTGTCGTCGCCTGGCCCGCTGCCACCGTTTCAACTACAGTCCCGGTTGGTCACAAGTACAGGTTAATAGTAGATCATCGACAATCTATGGTATCTGTACTTAGTTGTAGATATCTGAAGCAGGTTGTGTCTAAAACTAGTCATTTTTAGACCGCCTTCACCCGTCCGTGAATACAAAAATCCTGTCGCAAATATGCCATTCCGGGATTTTAGTCAATGAGGTTGCCATAGAGATAAACTAGGAAATACTGGATTGTCACATCTCATTTCGCGACTTTTGTAAATACTGTATATCTCTAAGACTTGAAGAAATACTTCTACATCAGATGCTTGAGAAGTTGTTGTTCTGTTTGTACAATGTTAGTTTGATACCTTCATACAAGAGTTTGGATTCTTCAGATTGCAATATTGGTATGAAGCATGGATTTACGATTGATGCATGCATTGAATCGAGCTTAGGTTACTGCAAAGTAATATTGCCTCATCTCCGCATTTCGGTAGCCCCAGCCTGTTTTGTGGGCCTACTACTGATGTTCTACGCAGAGATTGTTTATATGCTGTCCGCGCTGCGCACTGAGAGCAACGCTGTTGCGTACATTGAAGGCAGTTTACAATTGGAAGAAGCGCAGAGGAAACAGTCGGCGAGAGTGCACGAGGAAAGAGGAGTGAAGCGCAATACACACCTTGCGCACTCTCCGCGCCCTGCGCGGACGGCCTATAACCGCTTCAGAAAGTTTCTTAGCGATTTCATAGACGAGAGGGAGAAACCAACTGCATATTCGAATACACCAAGCGCTATAAGCAAGCCAGCAACATGTCTCCATAATACCGTATGTGGCGGTGAAATTGCATAGGCCCATGCTATTGTGGGACGCACCGTCCTCTTGATGGATCGCATGTGAAACATTAAATACGGTAGCAGAGGGTTTGGGGATGAATGTCTCATCCCTAGTTCATCCTCTCCGCTGCAGCCTGGGCGGTGTTCTAGTTAAGCACCCAGAATCACTTCCCACTTGCGATTTCCATGTGTCCAGATTTGTGTGGACGCTGCCTCCAAGAGGCCGATCGTGGTAGACTTTGACGCTTTCAGTGCCTCCTAACATATCTCGGAAGTCTATGTCGAGACCGCGCCGTTCTCAGATAATCAAAGGCCCTCAGCTGGCAGCCACAAAGCCACCGTCAAACCCACCAAAAGCTTCGTGCCCTATCGGCGCCGCTTTCGCTTCGCGCTGAAGACCTTAGCAGTCAGCCCGCTGCCAGTTCTAGCGTCCCGCTCAGCGTCATATTTGTGGCCCGCTCGCTTCTACGGTCTCAGCGCGGAGCGACAGTGAGGCGATATGGCACGTAGCATTTGGTGGGGTTTGGCGGTGGCTTTATGGCTTCCGGTTGAAAACCTCTATTAACATGTTTCGGACCGCGAAATCGCGCGCGGCGCAAAAAAGTGTACATTCGGCCGTTAGCCTACAGAGGGACCTTATTTTGCAGCCTGTGGGCCACATTTGTAATCAGCATGTCAGATAAGCTCCAGGTCCAAAGTTCTGAGTGAATTCGAAGTGTTTGAATTTTGTCGCTTGAGAGGGACTTTTGTGCCTTCTTGAAAGATAGGAACAAGAACTCAGATTCTAACAGTATTCAAAAGTATCTATGTTGTACACGGTACACAGTATTGAAACTACGGTTTTTCTCTTTGATATCGAAGCAAAGGAAAGTTGCGACGTCGCATGCGTTCTTCGCGTCGCCGCACTTCGTTGCGACTGTTGTTCGATTTGTCTTATATCTCCTAAACAAATATCGGCGGCACAACTCTACAGAGTCATTTTAAAAGTAGGAGCTTAGACCTTTGACTTAACAACATTAGACTAAAAGGAAACCTCCTGCAAACGCCAGAAAGATCATTCAAAGCAGCGTGCTGCACCATGTGCAGCACCGGTCCAAAACGTGTTAATATCTGCTGCATGACGAAGGGGGTCGCCCAAATAGGTTTAAGGCTTTCGGCACGCGGCGCGCGGGCAATTGTCAACCACCGCTGACCGAGCGGGCGCGCGCACGCTCGGTCAGCGGTCATCCACTGGAGCGTGCGCGCGGGTAGAGGAACGAACGCCTCAATTAGGCAACGCCTCCGCGGGCTACTGGTCCTTTCGTCCTGCTGTTGTGCATCGTGTTGGGACCAGTGGTCCGCGGAGGCGGTGCCTAATTGAGGTGTTCGTTCCTCCACCCCGTGCGCGCGCCCATGGCTGACAATTGCCCGCGCGCCGCATGCGCAACAGCCTTCAACCTATTTGGGCGAAAGAAATAGGAGGGATTTTTGCAGATAGGGCGAGTATGAGAGAAATCAATGTCTTGTAACGTTTACATGTTACTACTGAGGAACGAAATAGTAAACAGCTGAAGTAGATCGGTGACCAATGTTTGCAAATAAAATTATGCTGGAACATACAAACACAGAGCTCAAAAATGATTGTGAGAAGTGGATTAGTATGAAAAATCTCAATGGTTTTATCCTGAAGTGCATATTAGGAATAACCATTTTGTGAAAAGTGTAACAAAGACAGTCATTATAAAAGAAACACCTGCGTGTCAGAAATTGGGCGCTGGAATACCTAGTTCTTTCAAATACTTTATAAGATTTCCATAAGTGGAGTTCTTTTGAGACTGCTGAATTTGGTCCAAGGTAGGCAATGTATTTATCTGCACTGAATTTGTACTCGCAATCGGGTAGCGACTTAGAAAATCGCATAGAGTGTTATGTTCTCAGCACCGTACTCAATCTCGATATCGTACGAAAGTTATTTGATACTTAGCGAGACGATCCACTAGGCCTGACCTATGCATCAGAGATTTTACTGTGCATGGTCATTTATCAAGGTAATGGAACTACTCGCGACATATGGATAGAAGTGTTTCACGGCAAAAACTATTGCCAAGGCTTCTTATTCTATGATCGCATCTAGGCGTACAAGACTTTGAAAGCCATTTCAGCTAATTTTTGGAATAAGTTAGAGAACAAAATCGTCAAATTCGTTTGAAAATGCCCCACCACTAGAAATAAAAACACCATCCGGTAATATTATTAGAGAAGAACTGGGATCATTCCAATCCCTCAACAACCTTTTGAACGACTGCATACAGATATAGTCGGCCCATTACCGCAGTGTATTTCAGCGGCACAAATTCATCTCATTTAATGTTTTTGCCTTTAGTAAACTAATCATTTGTATCCCAATCCCTAATCAGACAACAGACCTCGTTGTCGGCTTTGTTAAATTTGTCATAGCTAAACACGAAATTCCTAACGAGCTAGTGTCCGATCTTGGTTCGATTCACAATAGCGAGATGTTTGTGAAAATAAACCGAATACTGGGCATTTCCAACATGTTTGCCACTAGTTACAACCACAAAGCGAACGGCCAAGTTGAACGGATGATTAAGGTGATTACCGACTCGCTAACGGCTTACTATTCGGAAGCCAAAGAGTTATGATCTTATTTTCTGCAGCCGACTCCGCCTATAACACTAGTATCAGAGACACCACAGGTTATAGTCCGTACTTCGTTGTGTATGGTCGTCACCCCATCATCTGGTGCGACATAGTCAGGGCTTGGCACGAGCTGGCACTAGGGAATTTTCAAAACGAAGTCCCCCTTGAAATTTGCTAATTTTTACGAAGTCCCCCTTGACTTTTGGGAATTTTTACGAAGTCCCCTTTGATTCTCAACGATATCCCCTCTAAAATCCTAAAAAACGCCCCAAAAACGAAATGTCGCTAAAAAAAGGTCGCCGTCGCCAATTTTGCATATCTCTTCGCCCACAAAAACGAAACCCCCTTTGCTTTTTGCTTCAAAAACGATATCCAGCTTGCCCCGTGCCAGCTGGTGCCAGGCCCTGGACATAGTCCATTAGCTACCGTCGAGGATCTCCTACGCAACCGATAGTAGTTTCACGGACCGACTGACCACTGCACTGCTAACTACAATCATCATCATGACCTATAATAAAGCGCGTGTCTGTCTGTCTGTCTGTGTGTGTTTATGTCTGTCTGTCACGAAATTCATAGAACGTGTTGTAGGCAAGGTCTTGAGCTGAAATTTTGGTCATAGCACCCTATTATCATGTAGGTAAACAGCGCAAAAGCACAAGCTGATACGATAACTGGAACCTTCAGAAAACCGCGTGTCAGACGGGTCCACCCTCATTTGGGCTCGCAAAACTAGGTCATTCATTCGACTTTTTGCGAAGTCATGATTTGCCTGACAAGTACATCTGCGCCTCATGAATCCTAGCCCAAAAAATGCTCAAAAAGTATGTTTTTCTGCGAAAACAGCGCCAAGAAGTGGTGATCGCTTAGATAGTCGATTTGGCAAGGTTTTAACTTGAGATACGAAAAGATTTTTGCACGGAAATTTAGCTCAATGTGACTATTATCCTTATGACGAATGCCAAGCCAGAATAAATTCAGTAATATATTCAAATTCGCAGGTGTTCCTCTGCGACAAGTTTTTTTCTTTCAAAATTACCGATCTTATGTGGAAATTCTTCAAGAATGAACAATTGTTTACTACTCATTTGTGATGTTCAGCATCGCATGGTGGGTTTCAAAGTCATCATTATGCGATTATGAGAAAGGCAAACGGATAGGAGAGCCAGTGCAAACCTTCGCGAAGCGGAGGTGACGCACTGGTGACTTATAATAAAGCGCTAAGCGTCTGTCTGTCCGTGTGTGGATATCTGTTTGTCACGAAATTCACAGAGCGAGCTGCAGTCAACGTCTCGAGCTAAAATTTTGCACAGTGTACGCTGGCAGCGTCTAGGCTCACCCTGCATAGTGGCGAATGGATCCGATAGATGGATCCTTTTAAAATGGTACCTGGAGCGGGTTCACTCGGCTTTTGGCACGCGTAACTATGCCGCCGCCGATTTGACTTTTTGTAATGTCGGATATTTGTCTGACAAAGAAATTTGCGACCCATAAATTTTATTCGAAAAAATGCTCTAAAACTCTGGATTCCTGCTAAAGCAGCGCCAAAGAAGAATGATGCGTAAATAGTCGATTAGTCAAGGTTTGACCCGATATCAAAAGATTCTTGCACAGAGATGTAGCCCATGGGGTTTATTATCCTTATGGGAACAATGATGATGAAATAAATCCAGTAATTCTTCAAATTCCCATTTTTCGCATTTGGTCTTTCGCAGAAAAGTTTTTTCCTTCCACAGTCACCGATCTTACATGCAAAATTTTTGAGAATGAGCAGTTGTTTACATTATACATTTGTGATGTTCAGCATTGCGCGGTGAGTTTCAAAGTCATTACTAGTATGTACGTATGTTCCAAATAGAAATTTTTATTTCTGAACCGATCCGGACCAAACTTAGCACATATACACTTCGGAGCCGGGCGGCTGTCATAGGCTACTTATCGTCATCGATTGATATCGATTCTAACAATTTTTATCGATTTTTTTGCAGAGTTCACCTACGAGGCTGGGAGTTGGCACAGGGATAAGTGAACATGGGGATTCCGAATACAATATTAGTTTTCGGAATTATCTATTACTTTTACCGATTATATCGATTTTTTTTGCAAAGTTTGACCTGCGGGGCTGGGAGTTTGCACGGGGGGGGGGTAATCGTGCATGCTGATTAAATACAATATTAGTTTGGCGCTATTCGGCTATCCGGGCCCCAAAATTTTTTTTGTCGTAGAGCTTGCTCAAACTTCGTGTATAAGGGTTATCTTACGTGCTGAAAACAATTATCACTCTTTCTTCGCGGAATGTCTCCTGTGTGGTTACGATAGGGTACGGTAGGAAATCAAAATCATGAATTTGGCTGGAGTTTGGTCCAGAGAACTTATTCGACATGCTGATTACGATTTTCGTACTCTCTCCCTCTGCATACTGGACCTTTTCATAGAGTTATGGTGGTTATACGGGATGGGGTCGAAAACATAGATTTGCTTTAAACTTTGTCTATGGTGGTCATTTAGCGCGCTGAACTTGAATATCATGCTGATTTCGCAGGATAGTGCATATTCTTGGGTTACGGTGGGTGCAGATGGGTCGAAGTTCCATATTTGCTCAAAACTTTACCTGTAAACGGTTCACAAGTATACTGCTTATGAATATGATGCTTGTTCGCTGTCATACCGCATTAGTGAAGTTATGGTGAATTGCAGGATTTAAATGGACATTTTTTCGCTTTCGGGCAATTTAGATCCCAGATATTCACGAAATGGGGGAAACGGTTGTTTTGCATGGCGGTCTCCAGCGCCATCCTGATAACCTGTTCCAACGTGTAACGCACGCGGCAAATTTCCCTCCTCCTGTTTTTGCTTGGCAAAAGCCGCCGAAGGGTGTTCGCGCGCGGCAGCGGTCCTATAAGGAAAGGACCCTTACGGTCGTGGGAAACTTTTATACCACACGAATTGCCATTATCGTGGGGATTGAGCACGATATCCTTGAAACAGCACTTTAGGTAGTTCCCTGCCAAGGTTTCAGGCAGGTTCATGATTTTTACCCGCTGCCACGCGAAATGACTACTATATTCGTCATCAGCGGCTTGAATAATATACCGAGTTACTCATATACCGAGTTTGAGCAAGACCCATCATAAAAACATTTTAGGGCCCAGATAGCTGAATAACGAAATCAGTTTTTGGAATTAGCCTTACTTTTATCGATTTTGTTGTTTTTTATTGCAAAGTTTGAGCTACGGGGCTGGGGGTTGGTGAGGAAGGTAGGTGAGCGTACTGATTACTCACACAGCGGAAATAAGGAATTGCATGTAGAAGTGGGCACAGGTAAAGGTGTACAGGAATAGCAATCGAACCTTTATCGTTTTTGACAGGGCCGGTCGGAGCCGGGTAAGCCAGCTATTTGCTAAATATATAACGAAATTAGTGTTATGTACTCCCTATACATCAGGATAGGGTCCGATCATTCCTATACCTGACGCAAGGAGTACCTGCCGACTGAGCAGGATGTTGTGGACCAGCGCTATCATGCAATTCCTAAGGAGGTGCAGCAAAAGCTCATCCTCTGCCATTTGGAACGCCAGAATGTGAGTGAAACCATCAGTGACAGCGACGCAGAGGGCTACGCCACAATGACAATCCTGCTGCTCAACGGCAGCGAATATCTCCGAGTTAAAAATTTTTTTTCCTATCCAAGTGGAGAAAATGCTGTGAAAGAAAAGGAAAAATTGTTTAAGGCGAAATGAGGAAGTCGATTGGAGTGTGTTTAACCTTTCATCACTTTTCGTTTATTGAGAACAAATGGAAAGGGAATCACTCCGGCCAACCGCTTGGGTTCGGAGTCTTGACAATCATTGATCGAGGTAAAACTCTGGCGTTACCAGACTCCTTCACCGAATTGCTGAAGAACAGCCTTCACATGGTAAGGCATGTGAACTTGGTCAACCTAAATAATGTAGGATTTCTCAAAAGGGCCCTAAAACGTGCCCAGGTAGAATCTAATAACATGTAATTTCAATGTGTTGTAGATATATTCATGTGTTTTCTATACAATAAAGGTATTAGTATCATCTGTGTATTTTTAGCATAAGTAGACAGTTAGCTGCATTGAATAAAAAGAAACGTAGACTTGCGGTGAGCAGGCACAATGATTTATTGCTACCTGAATGTCTTCGCATCGATGAGTTGACGTTTGCAAGTAAAACGGTCAGATAGCCTGGCAGGCGCGTAGATTTATCCACTGTCGCGGCCATACGGTCGCAAAGGCCAATTTCACATCTAATTGTATTTTGAGATCTAGAATTTTGGATAGGAAAACGAGGAACTACGCTCTCGAGTTGTTGCAGATAAAGTTTGGAATGCGTCCAAACTGTTTTTAGTTTCCAAGTGCTTCTTCGCCGGAATCGGTCAGCCTAGAAAATCCAAAACTACTTGTCTGTTTTGATCAGTTATTGAGTAATACTGAATGGCTGCAAATATTAGGGAGAAACACTACCGAATTGTTTGAAGACTTTTTTGTGAAAATTTAAAAGGATACCAGGATTTAGAAATACATTCGGCTTTGATCCTCAAACTTGACGTTTCCTATCTACCATGGAGCAGCCAGATCCAGTTGATTTACTGAAAAGTACAATGTGATGTGTGGTACTGAGTAATTTGCTGCTTTCCGTTGTAACCTATAATATCGAGAAGACATTCAGAAGCCGTATTCACCATTGATACCTTGAGGTAAATCCTACTTCCAGTTTTATCACTCATTATCAGCGATAAAACTACATGATGATAGGTGATAAAACTACTTGGGAAGTAGGTTTTACCTCGAGGGTTTATAACGCGAAAGATTCAGTTCATCACAGCGTTGCCATTTAGCTTCGTAAGGTTTAGATGCAAAATCTTTGCGGCCGAGAATTGAAACAGGGTCTCGCGTGTGAGGAACGGATACTCACCATCATATCACCAATCAGTTCTGGATCTGGTCAGTTTCCAGCTATAGACCTCTTTTATTTCACCGCAATGCTCCCAGAAACAAGAGGGTTTAGCAGCGGTATCCTTTGAATGCTTTGGAGGCAAAGGGGCTTCCCAGAACACATGAAGTGGCCTGAACAAAAATAACGAAGAGAGAATGGAAGAGCGAACGAGGGTGAGCGATGGTACAGAAAATCTTTACATATACATGGAAGCAGGACGGCGCTCATTCTCTGACTCTGTTTTAAGGCAGAGGTTCTTCTCATCAATAGGGGTAAGACAGAAGAATAAGAACGAAATGAGTCAAGTTTGAGAGAAAAACCATTAAAAAAAGGTTCAAAATCTGCAATTCCGCCGCTCAAAACGGCATGTGGACGACAGCAGCCATGCAGCACAAGTCCGGCACAGTTCCAACAATTCAAGGTTTGTTTCGGAACTCCCGGATCAGTATCAGTATGAAACCAGTCTAAGTCATCGTAAGCACATTTTGAGTGTACAGAAGAGAAAGCATATCGTTTACGAAAGTTACATAAATCAGTGCGTCACCTTTGCTTCGCAGAGGCTCGCACTGGCCCTACTTTCTGTATGCCTTACTCATTCCCGCATAATAATGACATTGAAACTCACCGCGCTGTGTAGGGTATCGCAAATGATTCGTAAGCAACTACTTATTGCTAGAGGTTTTTGTGTGAGATTGGTATTTTCGCGTGGATGAAACCTCTCCCAAAGGAATGAATGCAAGTTTGAATCGGGTTTTGGACTTTTATGGCCTGGTAGCCACCATAATGGCAATGAATATCCTGGGCTGCATCTTTGTGCAAAAATCTTCTCGAATGTTCAGGTAAAATCTTGGCGAATTGAACATTTACGCAACCAATTCTTTTTGGCACCATTTTCGTAAAGTAATCAACTTTAGTAGTTTTCTGGGCAAAGTCCAGGGCTTCCACATTAGCTTGTCAAACATATCCATGACTTTGCAAAAGGTTTCATACGGACCCAATTATGCTGGCGAGAAGAAGTGTGGATCCGCACGGATTCGCTTATGCTTCTGCCAATGGACCTGCATGCTGCTAGCACGTGCTGTGCCAAATTTTTGTTATGGAAAAAGTCGTAGCGACTGGCAATCGCCCGTCGCCATGCTATACTCCTCGAGGAGTATAGCGCCTGCCTAAGTGATGATAAAACTTATCTAGATTCTCCGTGGTTATAAGTTCCTACTGACTATACACTTGCCTCATTTTATACGTCTGGATTTATAACGAGTAGTCGAACGTTGCGTTTGACATGAAATCATTCAAGCATTGTATGTCATGCTTGATGTCCTTTGTTGAAGCACTGTGGCGTCATATACATTGCAGTCTTTTCAACAATTGCTAAAATGATTGGATTTGACGGCGCAGAGAGCAACGAAGATGTGATTGGACCAAAGAGTAGTGTGAAGAAAGAAGAGCCGAAAAAGGTGGGACGGTCATTAGACTTTGACTACCTTTGTAAAATTATTTCTATATTGTGATCGGTGTGGTACAAATCTCCCAATTCGCGCTATCTTATCTGATGCGCACAGAGATATGTACTATAACCATACAAACTTTTTCGATAGATTGAAGTGCAAGTTCTTGAAAGCATTTGGCGCTTATAACCCTAATTGCGCCTTTAGCCACTTTTACAGTTCTTTTGCGAATAATTAAACGAAGCCATTTGAGTACTCATCTGATTGGTAGCAATGAGAAATAGAACTATAATATTATTGCATTGCGCTTATTCCAGTCGAAGGTGGATGCTGTGAATCTTCGAAAATGCCTTGATTTGGTAGAAGTAAACATTCATATGATTACCGGTGCTCGCAAAATTGTCTCTACCTCCTACCATCACCCCTGCTGGGCAAAGCTCGCACTGGTTCTGCTTTATATGCTCCTCGTGTTCGTATAACGAAGGCTTTGAAAATCACTGCGCGATGCTGACTATCGCGTTTAGATTGTAAACAACCGTTGATACCGAAAGCTATTTCGAGTCGAATCGGTCTTTGAAAGAAATAAAATTTTTTCCGGAAGAGCAAATGCAAGTGTGATTCCCTGAAGATGGCTTGATAACCGTCATAATAAAGACAATGAAGGTTGGCTGCATCTCTGAGCAAAACGTCTTAGATTTCTAAGCAAATCTTGTCAAATTCATCCATGATTTTTTTCTTTTTTTGTATGAAAATAGAATTTCTCCCACTTTTTAATGTAAAATTTGCGACCTGTAGATTCACTTGTCAAGCGACACCGTGTATTCGCAGAAAGTCCGATTACCTACCCATTTCGCAGACCAAAAGTCACGCGACACGTTTTTGAATTTTTGAAGGTCCACGTGTTGAGTCGGTTCTTCCTTTCCTGTGTGGACCTTCATGCTGCTAAAACCAATAAAAAATTTGAAAATAACAGCTTTGCAACTTTTGCAACTTGCTCTACAGGGTCGGGGAAAGGCATTTACCGACCCTGTAGAGCAAGTTGCAGTTTCCCCGATCCTGGAACAAGATATTTTTTATTGTACCACGAAACTAGACAAGATGATCACATGAAATTCAATAAATAACGTTTACTCAACAATCGATCACATGGAATTGATTTTACAGTCCAAAAGTCTATCCTTTGGGCAAACACAAGCTCGAGATGTTTGAGAAATCTGCACGAGGAGGTATTTCACGTCGATTTCCTCCCATGCATACTGAGAAGCACGTCGCAAAGACTACACATTCTTGTGCTGGTGTGCGCAGGCTTTGGCCTCAAGAACTGACCAGAGGCTGTAGTCAAGGGGATTCAAATCCGAAGAACATGGAGACCAAGCTGCAAAAGTAATGAAGTTCTTGATGCTTTGGAGCCGTTTAAAATCTTCGCCTTGTGCGCAGGAGCGCTATTTTGCTGAAAGCACAGTTCCTTCTCTAGAATGATACCAAAATACGTAGCAGTGCTTACCTTGGCTAAGGCACAAAAATCAGCGACATTTTGCCATCGGGAGTGATTGCGTCCAAATCATCACAGAAGCCGGATAAAGCTTGCTTTTTTCGGCTTCTGTAAAGGTCCATCATTGCTATTGGCTTCTTTGAGCGATTTGGATATGAACCTGCTGTTTTAGCGATTAAAAACCTGTTCCATGTAATAAAAATGTTTTGTTCGGAAAGAGCACATGGTGGCGTGCCTTGAAGAAGCGCTCGCAATCGACGGCGTCTGTAAAGTCGGGTCAGTTTCTATCGTCTGGCAGTGCGTGAGTTTTCTGCATCCAATAGATCATCACAAGGTTCTCTTTCAAAATGTCCGGGACTGTTCTACGAATGTCAGACAGCTCTGATGCATTCCTAGGACGGTTCTGGGGGCTATTGATCTCCTTAAAACGACGCAAAGTGAACCGAACCGTGTTTCGTGGAATTTCGAGTATTCGAGCTATCTACTGTTAAGTCTACCCATCCATGTGTGTTTTCACTATCACCCGCTCCGACCAGAAGGCATAATTCCGGAAGGGTAAAGTTATCAACCAGATTTTTGGAGGGCTTCTATAGAATGGTTCAAAGATCTCATACTGTTATATAATTACGTTATGTTCCGTAGAATTCCCCCTTCAAGGGTTATTGTTCTCCTAAGCTTAAAATCACCTAGGTCCGGGCACTCGGTCGGGTGAACCAGACGTGGGAATTATGAAAGGTTTCTTACACAGCACTGGCCAAAAGCTTGCGGATCTTACTTTGTTTTGCCTAGAACGAACCAGAATTTTGACAGTATGTGCAATACACACTGCTTAACACTATGTCAAAAATTTGTCTCATGCACAAAGTATAGGCCTCTGGACAAAATGGCAAAAACGCCAAAATCGAAGTTAGTCAAGAATTTGCAACCACTTTCTGCTGAATGACTTTGAAGGTGTCACCTTCCAGTATCTGGGCTACAGATGCACCCCTGAGGCCTGAGATACAATGCGTTTGACGAGGCTAGCGCCGCGTAGTGCAGTCATACACCTGCGCGCGAGCGCTACCGTGGGCTGCAGCGTGCAGGGACCATGCCGCGCAAAGCGGCGTGGTCCTTGTTTTAGCTATTCTTTCTTCTTCTCTCTTAGCTTTTTCGCTGTCCTGCTTCTAAATTTCTGAACTTTTCTATTTAAAACTCTACTTCGGTGCTCGTCCTGAGATCTCTCAGAGTATCGCTGCGCGAATTGGAAGACAAAATGGAGATTTGAAAGAAGATGTAATCTAGATCATTTCATTTAAAAATTCTGAAAACGGCTGGTGCTCTCCCTCTTTACGGCTAAAGGTGGATACGTGAGGTGTAATCAGGGTCAAGCATGTGATGCGACTGTCGCAACGGGAAGTCATAAAGGAGGCACCGGCGGTGGGGGGGGGGGTCGTAAGAGAGGGTGGTCCGAATTTAAAAAATGTGGAATGTAGGAAATAAGCCTCTTAGTCGCAAACACTCTCTACTCTTCGGAAAACAGCATTTTTTCCCTGCAAAAAATATTATCGCGTATGGGGATTGAACACGGAACTCTCATTCAGGTCTAAAACGTTCTAATTTCCAAAACCATAGTCTATATCTTTCGGTGCTATTGAACCATAAAAGGATTATGCCGAACATTCATAAACAGCAGAAAGTTTATTTACCTTCACTAGAAGAGGAGTTAATATAAAATAGTCATTTATAATGACTAAAGTGAACCGTTCCGTTATGCTGAATTTTTCTTGGTTTTTATTTTATTTCATTTTTTTATAGGTAGGGTACAGCTTGAATACCATTCAAAATAAAATCGATGTTCTGCTTTGTCAGATAATGTAACTTCCATTCATATTTTTCCACAATAAGCATAGCCAATTTGTAAAATTTTACTACTTACCCAATCTACGTAGAATTATTTGTTTTTTGAGTGGTGAAGCATCACTTGCATTATTTCCCAATTTGTAAGTAGTTATCTTTCTTTGACCTATAATTTTGTTTGAGGTCCATTGGCAGGCATCTTTTGAGATTGACATTCTTTTATGCAGGTTATCGCAAAAGGAAGTGGAGGAGGCTGTAAGGGGAGGGTTGTGGGGGGGGGAAGGGATGTACGGATGGGTTCCTTTAGGGGGGGGGGGTCACAAATGAGGGTTCCGGATCGCATCAGCTGACCCTGGGTGTAATCGATATCGCATAGGTTGAGAGAACAGTTTGAGTGAACAACGCTAATGCATTGTTCACTCAAACCTAGACGATATACAATTATGTCTGCTGAAACATCGATATAATGAATCATGACATCCGGAATTAGCCGTCCGGAGAAGGCCTGGATGAAAAAAGGAGTCATGAGAAGAACGCTTAAAGATTTGATACCTCCTTCCTTTGCTGCGAAAAAATCATATTCGGCTCAAGACAGATCGCATATGAGCAAATAAACAAGAAAAATGACAATTTACTGCTACAAAAACGGTAAAATTACGGGATACAATGATAAAAGCAAGGCCCGCGATGTTATGCGCAGCATGGTCCCTGCACGCTGCGCCTACGGTAACGCCCGCGCGTAGATGTGTGGCTGCGCTACGCAGCGCTGGCCTCGTTAAACGCATTGTATGTAGTGCAACCAGCATTCATCAAGCTCCGAAAAGGAGACTTCACGGAGCAAATGCTTGAACGCCAGATGACCGCAATTCTTGGAAGAATTATTAGGTTGACGACACTGATAGACTGGTCTGTGTTCCTACGGAAAAGTTGTACCATTTGGACATTTACTGAGGGTCTGCGAATGTGACAGGAAAAGCATTGCTTGGCATGCTTCAACATCAACCACCACCTTAACTTAGATTAGGAGATCTTTCAGCTCAAAAATTGGGCTCAGCGGTGTGAAAACCCTGATTTCATGAAGATTAGCCCTGAGCTGCATCTCGCAGAGCTTCATCGAAAGTATGGAGGCGCCACAGTTGCAGAGAAGTTAGCGCAGTAATAATCCTCCTTGATACAGCGAACTTCCCCTAGATGTGATAATCACAAACTTTTCCGCAGAAGTGCTCTTCCATACTTTCAATGAAGCTCTGCGAAATGCGGACCAGAGCTCGTCCTCATAAAATCAGGGTTCGTATCAACTTGAGAAATTTTTACACCGCTGAGCCCAGCTTTTGTGCTGAAAGGTGCTCCTAATCTGAGTCGTGGTGGCGTTAGAGTTGAAGCGCGCCAATTAATGCTTTTCCTGCCACATTCGCAAATCGCCAGTGAACGTCCAGATGGTACAACTTTTCCATAGGAACACGGACCAGTCGATTACTCTCGTCAATCTGATAACTTCAAGTATTGCGGTCATCTGGCGTACAAGCAATTGCTGCATGAAGTCTATTTAGCATACCAGGTAAATCCTGTGGACGAAGTTTGGGCGAATTCTGAAATTTCCAGATAATGGGCCACCTGAGTCAGGTGGTCATTTTCGAACATCATTGATTTTACTTCAAAGGTGAATTAGCGACATCTTTTGGCAATTCCGCTCCAAAAGACCTTCAAACCGTGGAAATGGAAGCCAACCAAACTCGTTTTTTTCATTTTTCGCTTTTGAGCCTGTGCCTTCACCAAATTAATTCAGAGCAAAGAAGACGAATCGAGTTCAGTTTGCTCATACGAAATCTGTAAGGCTTGAGCTATTATATCATATAAATAATACTTGCTAAAAATGTTTTTGAAGGTAAGTTAATGAGTGTGGCACAATCCCAGAAAAAGTCTGGCAGCCACAGCTTTTTTCGGGTTGTATCAGACCCCATATGTAAAAAAACATTTTTGGCGAGTAGTAGTTATATGGTTCAATAGCTTAAAAATCTTAGATTTTACAGGATTGATTTGAGCTTGATTCGTCTTTTTTGGCCTGAGCCAGTTAGTGAAGACGCAGCCATTGAAAGCGAAAAATGGAAAAAACGAGATTTTGGTTGGCTTCTAATTCCACAGTTTGGAGGTCTTTTGAAGCGGGTTTTCTGGGTTGAGCGAGAATGGTGCTGCTTTGTACGGGGTGCCAAAAGATGTAGCTAATTCATCTTGATCATGTTCGAAAATGACCACCTCACTCATGTGGCCCACTATCTGGAAATTTCAGAATTCGCCCAATTCGTCCAGAGGTTGTACAACATGCTAATTATGGATTTATTAGTCCCTATGCTTTAGGGCCTCTTTATCATGCTACGGTAGGTATATGATGACGAGTCAGTATTATCAATATTATTCGATTACAGCCCCTTTCCGTTTTGCTCCTCAGTACAACCCTCGGGGTGTGACGTGCCACACCCCACGCTTGACCCTGGTTGTATATCTCAGAGCTTTTTTGCCAAAACAGGTTTGGTATGTATACTTTATTCGGAATAACGTTTCGGCATCAATGCTTTTCTCAGAAACGTGAAAGTTGAGTCATTCACATTTGTCTTGCATTCTAAGGGGTCAAATCTCTCTTTCAGACTCGAATATTCTATTTATTTGAGGAACATCAACGAGCCTCCAGTTCATAAGCAACTCACCAAGGATCACGCTGACAACACGCTGCGACAGCAGTGCCTAGCTTCACCCACAAATGCAGTTGAGATTCTCGTGAGAGAGTGTCTCAAGTGCAATGTATTTATAGGTCTGGAGACTTATATACTCGAGTAAGAGACTGTCAGAGATTAGGAAACAAAGATTAGCGCCTATCTTGCTGCATGCTCCAGAACCAAAATAGAGAAGTCGGGTTACCTAAAAGACCACTTATGTATTTGGATACATAGACAACTGTTGTAGAATTAAATCAACCCAGTCCAAGATGGACGATTTTTTGAACTATTAAACCAACAATCCCAGTACACAAGATTTACTAGAGAGAGAGAGAGAGAGAGAGAGAGAGAGAGAGAGAGAGAGAGACCAAACGAAGGCGTTGCCGTACCTGAATACAAAACCGATATTGGCCGATGGCACTGTGCGTATCATATGGTATCGCTAAGAGAGCTGAAAGGACATCCATTTAACATCAATTCCGCTCACCCAAATGGCCGTTAGGCGTGCCTTCTTGCGTAATATGTTTCGAGCGGCAACCAACATCTGCAATGGCGAGAGTGAGCGACAGGAGTCTCGAATGTTGACGCCCGCAATAGCAGCCTCAAACGGCTACTGTTCGGCCAAGTCTACAAGTTCTCAAAGGACGACTGCAAGATTTGATGACAGAGACAGCAACACCCCTCACTGCTTACATTTGTCTCAGACAGGATAACACACGCAACATGGAAATGACATGTGTAAGCGCAGCTGGAACGTGATGTGTTTTCATGTTGTGATGTTCCGCGGTGTTTTTGTCAAAACACCGCGGAACAACACCAGAAAGCAACTCGTGCATAACAAATTATACGAAATCGCCTCTCTAAAAGCTGCGTCATTCGCTCTTAAAGGCAGTATCCAGGCAAATCTGAGCATATGGGCTTTTGCTTCGAAATTGATGAGGAGTTTCTAGCTAAGGCACTGCCCAAACCGCAGCGCAAATTGTTCATTCATTGCGGAGAAACCCGTCCCCAAACACTCCGCGGCTGCGCCGTAACCGTAACACCTTAGAATGGGTCCCAGCGCGAACGTAGTGTTAAAGTGAGAGAAGTCAATTCCGGGTTACGGTCACGGCGCAGGCTCGGGGATCTCGGGGACAGATTTCTCAGCTATGAATAAACAATTCGCGCTGCCCCTTGGACAGTGCCTTAGTTGGGACCTTCTCATCAGTTTCCAGGCGTAAAACCCATGCGCCCCGATTTGCCTGGACACTGCCTTTGAGACCGCGGGACTGTGCAAGATCTGGAGCAGTATATGAACGTGAATGCCTAGGCTTTCATGCCACATTTATCGGCGAGACGGGGTGACTACTCTACATACGCGTAAAAGAACATCTGGCAAGTCAAAAACGGAAGCAACGGCTTCTTCACCCAACTAAGGCTAGAGAATGGTCAGAGAGCACACTCAAGAGAGAGGCGCAGACTGCGCCACGTCACCGCAAGCGGTCGACTTCCATCCGCCCATCTCGCTGAATCAAAGGATATCTGCTCGTAAAGAAGTTGAAAGCGAATTGGAAGAAATTGGAAGATATTCTATCAAGGGACCCAAAATCAATGGCAAAAATGAACAGGTCTCTATCACATGTGATTTTATGCCGTTCCTACCATACTGCCAGCTATAACACCAACATTATACAAGCCGATTTTTAGTAGGGCTGAACCTTGGTGAGTTGCTTGTGAACTGGTGGCTCGTTGATGTCCACTTAAGATGAATTAAATACTCGAGTCTTAAGTAGAGGTTTGACCGCGTAGAGTGCAAGACGAAGGTGAACGAATCAATTTCCTGGAGGAATTCATCGATGCCGAAACGTTAGGCTGAATGTAATATACATATCAAGCCTGTTTTGGCAAAGGAACCACTGGTCGTTCACAGTAAATATAACATAAGATAGGATAAGATAAATATAAAATAACACGCCAGAGCTTGTTCAAATATTTTTCCCCAACCTATGATTTTAGTGCAGGAAGATTTCCATGATATTATAGCGGGATGCTCAAGATGGGTATGTCTCGTACTACACCCAGGTTTGTATTTATGGTGCAAGCCAAAAATGGGTGTATGTCGTGAGGCCCGAATAGTTACGTCAGTTATTGTCGCGTTGACAAAACACATAAAAAGTTAAGGTTTGAGGCTCTAGACACTTTGTGAATCTTCGAAAAGGTATAGCAGAAACTGTGTAATGGAGGTGTGGACGAAACGTTTGGTCTGATTTGTGGATATAAGGTTATGACTTTGTTGGCCTCAAATGGTTTGTAGTATCTCGTCATTTTTCCATGTCCGTAATAACCGTAAGCTTTGCCAGGCGTTGGCAGCAGACGTTTAGCTGACATATCCACATTGTGACAATTCTAGAAGGTGTCTGAGGCTAACAGTCGCCTGTCCGAGAAAATTTTTTTGGGAGGATAAGACAAAAAAATTTCTTTGAATGAGGCGTCGCGCCTTCAGTTTGGAATGCTTTCAAAAGTTTCAGAAGGCCTGTACCACTAAAATCTTCTCAAAAAAGGGAACGTCCTTCGCCAGAGAAGGAAGATTTCAAGTAATATACGAAAATTTGGAATCGCAGTTTTTGAGGAAAGCCCTTTTAGTCAAAGTGGCCTTTTCGAATGAGTCCTACAACATTTCGAAGAGCTTTTAATATAAATTTAAATCTATTTCTACTATCTGCCAAGGCGCCTGGACGCCGAGTGCGTGTTTGTTGGAGCTAAAATGGACGCAGAATCTATCAATTTTCACGGTCTCTACAACGCTCAAGTTGAGCAGCGTTGAGTATGGGAGAAGTGCTCTGAAGGTATTCATTGATTGGTAGTCTGATTATTAGCAGTTTACCATTCTGCATGACTTTTTTAGTTGCGCATTCAACTTTCTCTAAATAAAAACGCTTATGACTCGGCGTCTGAAGGCCCTCGGCTGATAAAGAAGACAAATGGGTATCATCTTTCAAAGCTCTGTAGCTCTACTAGGGGATATAGGTTGGCTGAGTCATACTCAAGCTTTCGAATACGAAAAAATTACAAGAATTGGCGAATCTTATTCTTAGGTTCGAAAATTTTATGTACATGATTATAGTCACCTGGACCAAAATCGAGTGAAGAAACAAAGCCTGTCGGGAACGGAGGAGAGACAAAGCGTCGTCGGGTTGATCTTAAAGAAAAAATGGAAGTTCAGTCCGTGTAAGTATGCTCTTCGATCTGTACCCAGCTATTCATAGATCTTCTGGAGATTTGTTGTTTTTTAACTCTTGATAATCTTTTAGTGAACTTCAGCGTCAGAGTGGGGATAGCGCAGCGCACATTGAGGACAAATCAGCAAAAAGGTTCTTTTCACGCATGATAGTAGCTTGAAACTAAGTACGCACCTTTTTTAGCAGCAGAATGGATGACTTATCATCGAGAAGTTTACGTAAGCACTTGTTCTTAACCAAATTCATCACAAAAATGAGGTTCCTTCTGTAAATACCGCTAACCAAAGCTGTTTGAGGGATAAGTCGATTATATAGCACGGAAGCTGTTCTTCTTCTCTTGAGATCATTTGTAGGCGAATCTCATGCGTATAGCGGGAGTGGCCCTGCAAACATTTTAACACGTTGGAGAACTTGTTAGACCTCTATTTTAGAGCATTAGTTTTTGTACTTTTTCGGTAGCAGAAACTGCCACGCGGATACGTTGGCAAACGTCGGCAAAGCTCCGCCCGCTATACCGTGGGGAATAGACGATATTTTTCTGTGACGAGATTGTTAAGAAATGCCAATACTCTATTTATTTTCGCCCTATCAAAAGGATATTGGAGAAAGACAACACATTGCTTACAACAATTGCTTATAACAAACTGATGTAAAGTATGAAGTAAAACAAGCATGGAAACTCCGGCCAATCTCGATGTCCATCTTTGAAAAGATTATGATTATCCCAGCGCTACTGCCGAAACAAAGAGAGCGAAAGATTGAGCGGAAAGGAGGCGTACGTTGCGTAGTGGCACGCGTTACTATGTCGGCGTACGCGACGCTGCATACACCACTTATGATGCGCAGTCTTGTTCACCCAATGAGGTACAAATTGGAATGGTAAGCGTCCAGCGGTTTGCACTGGTTCGCGCCGTATCGCAACCAACGTAGATGTGCGCCGGAAGATGTGCTTGAATGCTTCGGCCTGCATTTGGTTAAACAAACTATAGCAGTCAGTGTAGGCTTGCCCACGAGAATGAGTAGTTTATACTGCTACAAATGGTGTGAGGCCCTTTCTACCAACTGTAGCGTTACATTTTGACCATCAATTGATTATACCACTTTGTAAGCTCTCTCCTTGATTTGGACAAATTTGTCATTTTCTTTACGCAGTCGAAAGATTGTGCTGGCAAAATTTATGCTCTTTTGAGTTAATTTTTGCTACAGCAACGATGGAAGAGGCAAAATTGTAGTTCTGCGGGCGTCCTATTTACAGGGTGTTTGGAAAGTAAGTAGCCTAGAGTACTTCCAATTCGAAATTTAATGCGTTTTATTGTGCTCATCAGGCCTAGATACCATCATTTCAGCGAAACCAGGTTTTCATTTTTTTTAAAAATTTTCATTAGATTGAAAGGTATCAATATAGCTTTCCAAACCACATTCCTTGCAGCGCTTGTTACAAAGAACGATACATGATTCACAGAAAGCTTGGTATAGCTTCTAAAAGCCTTTTTTAAAGTTTCTTAAATGCGCTTTTTTTCGTAGAAGTTAGTTTTTTGTACCGTGCCTTGAAATACAAGAGATCCAGTTTCAGGATTTTTTTCGTCAAAAAATCCAGCACCAAAATTCTTATACTTTATCTGTAAAACCTTCACTAGGCAGAATTTTTGAAAATTAATACAATGATAATCAGAGAGCTGTGCTACAAATACATGTTAAAATAAGACTTCCCAAATTATTTAAACCGGGAAAATCCTAATGCAAATTTGTCCGCGATTCTCTACTGTAATTTTGCACATAAAAATTGTTGTTCGCAAGCTGCTGAGAAATGTTTGTTATATAAAGAAAGTGCAAACTTAAGACCATTTGTAGTAAAAGAACGGAAAACTGTCTCCGTTTTTTGGCTTTGAAATAAAAGTAGAACAACTCAGATAACGCACTCTTCCGCCTCTCCAAGGAAGCTGAAAATTTTATGCTTCCAAATTTTCTAAGGTATAATGAGTCAAAAAATATTTTTTTTGTTGACCCGGTGGTTTCTAAGTTTAGCGAACACACATAGCAAAAAATGAGTTGAGATACGCAATTGAAGTACTTGAGGCCACAAACTTTTCAAATACCCTTATTTAGCTTACTTTCTAGGCTTCAAAAACGGCGATTCGTCGAAAAGTAGAGCATTAAAGGCAAAAATGTTTCAATAACAATCTTATACGTACAAAAAAACGGAAACAATACGCCTTACTTTGCATGATATTTCGAAGGAAGTGATGGTTTGTCAAAAGAGGAAACTGGAAAGCGTTTTCAGTGAAGTTTTCCTTTCCTCTGTTTCTTGTTTATTCTCCTGCTGCTTTCAGCTTCATCTGCTTAAAATACGAAGGGCTGAAGAAATATGTATATCACATTGTCTTGAAGATGCATTGAACTAAGAATCACTGGACGTTTTTTACAGAAACACAGATTGTCATGCGCTCCCGTCGCTGCATAAATAGAATCCGGGCATCGGAGTAGTGAAATTATTTGTAACATTTCATGTCTAGGTCGCATTCGGGATATGAGTGAACGTGCTGTCCGAAAAGTAAAAACATTTGTGAGCAGACCAATCAAGGAAGCCACTCTCCGACATTTTGTCAATAAGGTGGAAGCCAAAATGCAAGCAGAGCAGACCGGACAAGTTCGAGTACGTGCTGTCATCGTAACCACAAAGCTTTACAGACGTTAGTTCGCTTATTGCTGATGTGCTACCCAGCTATCAGCGGTAAGAAACCTGTTGCCGAGGGCCCTAATGCGGACAGGCAATCTGTTTTGAATTGCAAACTCAAAATGCGAAATTTTCACGAATATTCTTCGGACAAAGCTAGCTTATTTTAGCTGCGAGAAGTTAAGCGAGGAGATGACTTATTTCCAAAGCCTTTACGGAGATCTCAGGAAGGAAAGTCTAAGGAAGTTAGAACCAAGGTATGTGCTGCATCTACTTCATCAAAGAGTTAGATAAAATGGAATGCATTTTTAGGATAAGGTTGACATGTCTCTGAAGGTAACAACTAATTGTCTCAATTTTGATTCAGGTTTTTGAGCTAGCTATTCAGAGTGTTGCGACATCAGCGATGAGGTACAGTGGAGGAGAGTTACCTAGTGGAAACAAAATAGTTAGCGGTAACAAGTGCAATGACGGGAAATTGTTCATTAACGGCGAACCGTTTTGGACAACGAAGAAAAAACCTACCGAGGCAGACCTGGTACGACTGTCTCAAACTCAAAACACTTCCCCTTCTGAATAGAACTTCTTTGATAACGAATTAGCAAGTTCTGAATAACCGAGCTTCTAACGAGTAGCTAGCCTTTTCTTGATGAAGAGTGTAAGCGTGTTTAGTATAAATTTACTTTTTTCAAAATCACAACACGGAAGGAAACTTAGGAAGATCTCACTTACAGTCTGCCCCAATCCTAACCAGGCCAAAATTGGCATGGCGGGAGTCCGCGTCGCTAGGCTTTCGCGGTCATGCCCACGGCCTGCTTCTCTGTTCTCTCTTCAATGTTCTCGCTCTCTCCGACAGTGCACCTATGCAGCGCAGACCGCTAGCGCTGCGAGCGCGCAAATTCACGCCGACGTTTCGGCCTGATCCCAATTGGAGCAGACTGTAGTAATCATACCCATTCATACGCAGTTCTTTTGGAAAGCATTGAACATTCTTCATGGTAATGCAGGCTTATGTGTGCATAGGATTGAAATTACCATTCCGATTGCCCTTCGTGAATTTGCTAATGATTTTAATAACTTTATAGTTTACTTTTTCCATGAAATTATTACTCTGTTAACGATCTCTCTTTTGCTTCGCTAGGAAGAAAGTGGCACAGAAGATGACATTCAAATGAATGCTGAAGTCGCACTGGAAGTTTATGAAGGAAAAAAACAACTGGTCAACATGCCTTCCATACCGTGAGTTAACGCGCCATGCTGTATTAAAGCATGACTGCCAGATTTACAGGATCATCCTAGATCCAATGAATGAACTTTCTGAGCTGAAGCGAAGGGACAAGTTGTTCTTTTGCAGAGACGTACTTTTTGGGAATTCTGTGCGCAGCATGATAAACCTTTGTGGTGAGAGATTTGTTTGAACATAACCTGGATTTCTGTGTTATACAATTCCTCAAAGATAGTACAACGAAAGTCACGCCAATACGAAAACGAGGCCAGCCGATAGCATTTACTGAACCAAACACAAGAGCTGCTTATCATGTAAGTTAACTTTGTCACAAACAGTTGGGTGTTCAACTTCACTATGTCTAGAGAGAACACTCCTCGGAATCGGAAAAGCTTCCTTTCACTCCATCCAAAGTTCCCTCAGGAAGTTCACAAAAAGTCCGAAAACGAAAGCGGACGAACGCAAAAACTAGCGGCAACGGTCACGAATCGAGTAATGCAAAACCTGGCTCAAGGAAACAAAAAAGCAAAAGCAAAGGCGGTGATGCAAGAAGTCTGTCAGCAGAAGTTCAAAAATCGTCTCAAGCTGTAGAATCTAGTTGAAATTTGATGTATTCATGTTAAATAAAAATTTGATTATCTATCCCAGCGAAATTGTAAAGTAAATAACTTACAGCTCATTCACAATGTCGCGAGGGCTCTACAAAACTTCTGCACAAATTCTGATCTATATCTATTACAGGTTACCAACAGTTCGCTAAGTGGCTCCCATCCTTCGACTAATCCTCCTCGATTGGCTAGCCACAGTTGTTATGACTTCAAAGTTGTGGCCGTCACATATCATTTCTAATATTGCGTTACGATGCCAACATATTTTTTGAAGCTTTCGCTCAAGGTCATTTCGCTGAAGACACTAAAAATGTACAAGCGATAAAAAAGCTGGACCAGACCCGACCCAGGGCCCGGATGAGGTGGAAAACGGGGTTTTCCAAAACAAATTCCTATTTGACTCCAAAAACCCCTTTGAGCCCAAAAACGGGACGAAAGAAGCCACCACCAGTCAGACTTTACTCAAAAGAGTTCAAAAGCATCCAAAAGCGCTTGAATTTCTCTAATTAGCTTTCTCACCTCCAGGGCCCGGATGAGGTGGAAAACGGGGTTTTCCAAAACAAATTCCTATTTGACTCCAAAAACCCCTTTGAGCCCAAAAACGGGACGAAAGAAGCCAGCCACCAGTCAGACTTTACTCAAAAGAGTTCAAAAGCATCCAAAAGCGCTTGAATTTCTCTAATTAGCTTTCTCACCTCCAGGGCCCGGCGGGGGTGGCGCTTTCACAAGCTGGATATTGTTTTTGGCCCGAAAAAGCAAAGGGGAAGTCGTATTTTGGGGTCCGGGGCGGAGCCCCGAACCCCAAAATACGACTTCCCCTTTGTTTACCGATAAACAGTGCACATATCATTCTTTATTCATCATTCATTCCTTGTTGATGCTACTGTCCTATGAACTTAGATTCAAGCAATGTGAAGATTCTGTGCTCCGATCGCTAGCCTGCCCGCATCGCATCGCAGGCGGGAATTCAAATCGCAATTCTTGTAAGAGGAAAATAACAAAATAGGCTCGTTTTCAATGCACAAGTAACGATATGGCACCAAATTTGCTGCGTAGTTGGAGGACCGTGAGCACAAAAAAAGTATGAAGAATTATGAGAAACTTATGTGAATTCAAAAAATGGTAAGTGTTTTTCGAAATTAGGTGGCTCTCGCGCCACCTGGGGCCACCTAGGGTGGCTCCCTGCTTCCCTTCACATAATTTCCCGGATTTCTTTACATAAATGTGGACTAGGTCGAGAGTATTACTATATGTTCAAATCCGCTTTCAAAACCACCAAGGCACCGCTTCGTTACAGCCCCAAATAGGGTTCACAGCGTTATGATTGGCCTCGGAAAGCGCGCTCCAATCGCAATCGGTTATTGTAAATTGTAAAGTTTCGCAGCTGACTAATAAATGAGTAGTATCTTAGATATATAAACGTCAAAGTTTGTGCAAATCTTGACCCTATGTTTTTTTATAGATCCCTGTGCGGATGAACCCATTGAGCTGAAACCTTGATGACCCGGGCTGGACCAGGAAAGCCAGGTAGTACTACTATAATAAGCGCTGAGGCCGCCCATCTTATTATTTGTGTATATCCGTTTGTCAGGGACTTACGGGGGTCAAAAATAGGGTCAAAGAGGAAGTCGTAAGAAATTTTGGCTTTAAAGGGGATATCGTTTTCAAAATTCTGAAATGCCACCTCCTGCCCGGCCCTGCTCACCTCACATGTTTTCTAGCCTAAAAGCGCCGCATGTTTAACATGTAAGCGGAACATGTGTGAGGAGAAATGAGAAATGTGAAAAGAGATCAAAAAATTGGCTCGAGCTCTTTTGCACGAAGCCTGCAGTAAATACTTTATCAAGAGAAGATTTTTTGAAAAAAAAATTAGCGATAACGTTGAAAAACCTATGCAGGTCCTATACAATTTTTACCAAAAATGGTAAAGGCGTCCCAAAGATTTCCAGGCGAGGTTACATGATACAGAGAAAAATGACGAAGATCTATGTGACAGTCTTCCGATAACCAGATTCATGGAAAAGATAAAACGCGAACTGAGCGTGATATGAGAGTGCAGAGTAAATTGCACTGAGGAGTGGTCGCCGAGGCAAACTAAGCCGGAGTAAACGCTATGGATATCCGCAGCAAAACGGCTTCTGTATCCATCAGGAAAGTAATACGATTCAACAAATGCAGAGACAAAGTTCACTGCGGGTAACGGGGTTTCCTTAATCGAATACTTTTATTTCTCGTCGTTTATTAGCTCTGCGTGACCTTTTCTTTCTTTGATCCGAAATAAGCAAATAATTTAGTGAACACAACACGGAAGATGAAGAAATATAAATTAGAAAGAAGAAAAAACAAGAAGAACGACGAAGGAACGAAGAAACATTGAAGCAACACCGGTTATCTACAGGGCTTCACAACCTGAGTGTCCCACCCGCCCCGCTAGGACGCCACGCTTAGGTCCGCGCAGCGCTCGTGGCGCTGGCTGCGCGTCGACTGAAGCTTGGCGAAATCCGGGCGATACGCAGCAAACGCCGCGCGCGACCCGAGCGAGGCGGCCGCGTTGGAGGAGCCGCGCAAGCGAAACTTGCGACTCTCAGGTTGAAAAGCCCTGTATAAGACTGTATGACGCCGTTCTTGCGAATATCGATTGAAGCGCGCTTTCCTGCTTCGAAAAAGTTGCTGGGGCTATTTTGGTATTCAGCAAAGAGGAGAGGAGCAGTTTCGAAACCCACATCTTACCATATAGTAAACTTTAGGTGTAGAACAAATTTAAGTGAAAATTTTGAAAATCTTATGTGAACTGGATGTTTTGCCTACCTCAGATGGACATTAGGTTGGGCAATTGCCCACCTTATTTGGAAAAAAGTTAAACACTCTCTTTATCCACATGAGTTTTTCATAATTTTTCATAATTTGTTCCTTAGTTCCACTGCGCGTAAACACGCCAAATTTTGTGCCATATCGTCACCTGTTCTTCGCAAAGGAGCCATTCAAATTCCCATCTTCACTCGACAGTTGTTAGAACATCTTCCATTTACATAAGTTTTCCATAATTTTTCGTACCTGTCCTTATTAGCCTATATTCGTTTTTCACGCAATTGGTTGCCATATCCTTACGCCAGTGGCGGACCGTAGGCCCCCCCCCCCGAGAATGGGTCGCGAAATTTGTGAAACTTACCTATATGGGTTATAAAAATGTGCAAACGACTTGTTTATTTTTGCAAATAATTAAAATAATTTTTTAAATTTTTTAAAAATTCAAATTAGCCTTATAAAAAAAATTTTTCGGGGGCGTAGCCGACGCCACGCCCCTTTTTTCCAGATTTTAGGGGTTGAGAACCCGCAAAAATTTTGAGAAGCACCCAAAAAATTTTTCCGGAGCGTGACTAACGCCACGCACCTTCATTTGAAAAAAATTCTTGTCGCCCCCCCCCCCCGGTCCGAAATCCCGGGACCGCCACTGCCTTACGCATAAATTACTGGTCATGTATGCCGTTCCACACAGCATTGGATGAGCGACGTCGCGTGTGCGGCAATTAGTGACGGAAGCGGTTCAACGTTCCGCTGTGCGCCTGTTGAGGCACATAACATGTTGAGATAAGCAGAGAACATGAACTACCAGTTTTATTTTCGGGCTCCGCTCCAGATCCTGCAAAAACGATATCCCTTTACTTTTTCCACCCAAAGCGTGCAGTTTGTCATTTTCCCACCTCGTGCCGGAGCCCCGACCCAATCAACAAAACTATCATTTCATTTTCTTTCGATACTCTCAAGACGTTCCGTATGGAAAAAAAACAATGAATTTGAGTTACATAGTAAACAACTAGAACAAAATCACCACGTAGTTCAAGCCTAACCTACAGCATACAATCTAGATTTGCAGAAATGCAATGAAACAGCCCACATGGAACTGCTTACGCGACTGCAGAAGTAAAGAATGAATAATTCTATCTACAGAAGTGGTATCCATGCCCCGTCGTTTGAAAGCAAACGATCTTGGGAGCAATGGAATAATTGCTGCGCTATTAATCAAACCTGAATTTTGTATTTGCGAATATGGTACCCTCAAGCTTCCCCTTTGCCAGAAACGAACAATCTTGAGATTGATTGACATTTGGCACATTTTATGCAAATCGGCTAGTTTTATGACCGTACACAAAAGCAAACAAATTCTTTAAAAATCTTAGCTGTGGCAGCCACAAGAAAACCTGATTTAAACAGATTCGGGCGACTTTGACTGTTGTTCTTGCGATCGATGACTTTTCTTCGAACTCTTCAGACTCAATGGCATAGACTTTTCCCGTTCAACGTAAGCTGAGTAGTTTTCAGCCCACATACGCTGAAAACGAATCAGTTAGTTACATATGAGGTAACTCTTCCGACCCACCTGTTGCCTCCATAACCAGATGCTGATGCTCTCTTTCTGGTCCATGACAAAAATGGATCCATCAAAACGAGTAATCGGGACCAGTCGATCTTTATTAAAACTTCTGGTCACCATTGCCATAATCTGGAGTTACGAAATAAGGAATGGAGAAAAGCGTTAGCAACGAACGCACTTTCACTTGCAATTTCTCGTGAAGGTATGCAGCTGCCTTGTCGATGTTGTCATCTGCTGCTCCATCAGAAACGAGACAAAGGACCTGCAATGTTCAATGTGATAAGATAATTCTTACAAAAGATATTGAGGAGTTGTTCTGTTATACCCGTCAGCCTCTAGAGATGGTGAATCTATAAAGTAGAAATGATGTACACCCCTTTCGCCACAACGCTGTTGTGTATTGTGAGCCAGCCGTCAGCGCTTACTCGCAGTTATATGGATACTTTCGGTCCCACAAAACAAGGATAAATCGCACTCGTGCAAGCCCATCTCTGCCTTTGCAAGCATTGGCAGCGCTCCCACTGTACGTTACGCAAGGTGGGAAGTCTGTTTAACCTTATAAGCGGTGTCGCGGCACATGTTTTTCAAAATTCATTGCAATGGTACAAAGAATTTATGATCGTATGCACGAAATCGCCCATATCGCTGGATCCTAAACGCCTGTGAGCTTATTTAGCGCGCGGCTTATCAGTAACCTGCGGCTACGCTTAACACTGGGGCTTGATAGTTCATGTAGTCGGCGACCGCACGCGCCACTTGGGCTGATGTTCGGCCTGCAGCTGTAAGCAATTCCGTACAGTCGGCTTTACCTGCTGGTCCTCCTAAATAAATTCCCATAAGGTTGTCCGCCTAGAAAACTTCTGAACAGGCGCGCAAGCTTCAATTTGGCATGCTCTTGAACGACACACTCACTAGTCTGCGCGGAACCACCACCACAACTTGGCATTATCCGTACTAGTCAGTACAAGAATTACAGTGGTAAGGTTGCCTTCATACCGCGCCGGCAGCCGCCGCCAGCAGCACAGTAGCCCGTAGCCGCCGCTAACAGCCCGTAGCAGCCCGTAGCGCCAGCAGCCCGTACCCCCGCTTGCCGCTTTTTAATCATAGGAGCGTAAAAGCATCAGATCTTTACTACTATGATTGCTCCGGCCCATGCTTCCTGTTGCCGCCGTATGCGGTTCGATGTCTATGTCATACTTGTGTCCACTGTTGTCATTGCAGTAGATTGGCTTCCCAATTTTCCAACGCAGTTGAACTAGGGTTCGCCGTAGATTCTTCCTCCCTCTGACTTTGGATGAGTCCAGTTTTTGTATTCATGGTATATGTATGTTTACTTTTTAAGTGTGTTTCTGCTTCAATATTTTTCTTGAAAGAGAAAGGAAAGAACAAGTTCAATTTAGCTTGAACATTATTTGCAAAGCGGTTCCGTCTCTCTTGATCTGAAGAAAATGATATGTATCATGTAAAAGAACATGCAGCAGTCAAAGTTGAAGGAAGCAAAGCACGCAAGAAAAAATTCAAGCGAGAACAAACTGTATACTGGCGGCAATAAGAAGGAAAAAACGGAGGATAACAAGCTCGGGAGAGTGCACTCAAATTAATAAGAACCAATGATTCTGCGCTCTCATGATAACAAAGGCGGCCAGCGGCGCTTGCGGGTTGCCGGCGGCTGCTACGGGCTGCTAGCGGCGGCTGCCGGCGCGGTATGAAGGCACCTTAAGCTTCTCAAGACAGTACCATCGTGATTTCCGTTCAAACTCTCGTCCGAATTTTCTTCGAATTGCGGCTCCTTTTCACTTTGTCGAGAATTAGACCTTGACTCCAAATCTGATCCCAGTAACAGTTGCGCTCTTTTAAATATCGAATTAACAATGTTTGTTTGTGCAAAATGAACGCATTTTCTGGATAAAATTAGTTGTTACGATCTCTCTAACGTTCAAATATAGCAGCGCTGAGTAAGGATATACTAGACAAAATGTATCGATGGCATAAGGTGGCCTGATAGCCAACGTTGACCCACTGATCCACTTGAATGTTTTCAAATTATTTTGATCTAAGGCAGCGCTATACTCCTCGAGGGTATAGCATAGCGACGGGTGATCGCCCGTCGTAGCGACTGGCGACTGCGTCTTCCATGCGTATCGATCGCTAACAAGTTAGCACACGTCCAGTCGATACACATTTAATGTGTAGTCGCCAACACTGGTGACTGGCGATCGCCAATATCGGCGACAAAAATCGCTGGTTTTACACGCATTTTTTGATGCATATCGATCGTCGCCATGCTATACTCCTCAAGGAGTATAGCGCCTGCCTAAGTGTTCAATTTGTTCCAAGAAACGTCCATAACTTGGCATTCAGAGTGCGCAGCGCTTACGAAAGGCAGTCTTGGAATCCGCGTCTAATTCCCCACAAATTGACATACAGATTATGTGGAAAAGTTACTTGGACTACCATTTTTCTTGTCAGTCAATGAAACATTTGAGGGCCGCAATAGAGCTTAGCTATTAAGAGAATGGTCAGAAATCGAAGTGGCCAATTCAGACAAGCTGCATACCATTAGATTCAACTCAAAACGCTAACTTCGATTCTATATTTCATATCTGCTTAGTGCCGTTGTGGAAGAAGTTATGGCCGTTAAATGCCATTATTTTGATGAGAAGCCGTGCATGCAAAGCGAAAATTTGGCAGTACAGAGCCATGTTCGGTTTAATGCTGGGCCAAATCATGCAGCTAGATTACTTTATAGTTTTGAAGCCCAAAGGTGAGCTGAAAGTGCAATATGTGCCTAATTTCGCAACTTTCATGTGCGTTTTTTTTGCGATAAAACTGCTTATAACTTCGTCCGCAAAGGCGCTAAGCAGATATGGAAAACAGATTCGAAATTAGCGTTGAATGCTGTTTCGAATGGTATGCAGCTTGCTTAGATTGGCCACTTCGACTTCTGACCATTCCTTGTATGTCCTCCAATCGGTAATCACACAAGCATTAAAACATCCACCTCTGCTGAATATTGTCTTAGCGGTATATTGCGAGCATAACAATTGAAGTAAGTCTGGGCGTAATCCAACCTGCAACCTATCATGTCGGGGTGTCGGCATCAGCTTATGCTTCCTTTTCTTGATATCCCTCATGTTTTGCTCCTTATAAAGCACTCCTGCAGCAAATGAAAGAGCTTTCGATAGCATTGTGGCTCCACCAGTGTACGACATTCGTTCCAGTCCTCCTGAAGAAATAGTGTCGTACTTATTCCAAAGTTTCTAGTCACACTTACTTTGCACACTTTTCAAAGAATAGTACTTATCGAATCCGAATACAACACTTGGCTGCAGGGCATACTGTATCAGCGCAATGCGAGACCTGCCCGGACCAATGTCCACGTCTTCCAAAACATTTGCTATGTTGGTTTTGATCTGCAATTATCACGCTTTATTCATTTTGCCCGATAGGTATGCTCGTACCGCTTCAAAGTTGGAGATGCCAATGCTGCTCGAGCTGTCGACCAAAAATAAAAGATCTACAGGTGGAAGATGACGTGCAGGGTGATTTGATGGCAGTTTCCCTATAATGGACATGCTCTGCTTCTTGCTTCCACTTCTTTCAAACTTGATGCATTTTTGAGAGAAATACAAAATCAAAATTTCTCGAGCTCGTCTAAGGATCACATCCCGTTACATGGAGAATTCTGAAAAATGAGGGATTTCCATCTTGCCCCTCCTCCACCTCCATTTGCCATACTTCCCACATTTCCTCGAGAATCCTACCTGCTTGAGCAACATATCCAGAATCATCCGTGGCCGCATCGCTGCTATCCTCTTCTGTGATTGTATGAGGATCTGACGGCCATTCTGTAAGTCGAAAGAATTTCGGAAAGAGCAAGTCGAGGCAATGAAAACCGAACAATCGAATAAAGCATTTTTTCCGAATAGTTCAAGAAAGCTTAAGTAAATTACTTACGGTGTTCAGCTGAAGAAGAATGAGGATCTGAAACATGATGGTCGTGATCGTGATCCTCATGGCTGGTGGATGCTTCATTTTCTTTCGATTGGTGTGCCAGTGATTCTTCGATTCTTGTTAGTCTTGATAGCAGTTCTTCTTCTGAATCAAAGGGAGCCAAATTGGTAACATTTGCATTTGAAGTCAGTGTTAAAGAAAGTTTGTCCTAAATTTCTTATGCGCAAATTGAGTGGGAGGCTTTGATTAATAATCTAAGATCCAATTTCTTTCTCCAAAAATCACTCTAGTTTGCCTAATACTGTAATTTTCCTAAGCGGACTGACCAAGCTACGGTACTGGGCGAGATTCAATCGGCTGGAACAATTAGGAAATTCTATACCTCTTTTGCTTGCTTGACCATCCATTTCTCTCCCTCCTGCATGCAAAATCCCTGTTTCGCCCTTGATGAGATCACCTCTTTCATTATAGCCACCTTCGTGGTTGTTCTGAAATGAATGGATTCTTTTTACAGCTATAAGTATCAGTTCCAAACTGACCATCGAAGCATTAGTGTTTCGTCCATCAAAGACTTCACCTCCCTGTGTTATAGCATATCCTGCTTGTTGTGGTTGCTGAGTAACAGCTGAACCAAGTTGTTTGTACTGCGAACGATGAAATACACGCATTCAAGCTACATTTTCTTGTATTTAACCATAAAAATGCCACTGAACAAAAGCTTTCTCCACTCTAATTCTGAAGATCAGGAGTAGCGGTAGAATTTCAGATTTCGCTGCATCAGCTTTGTTTTATTTGTTCGTCATTTCCGTAAATCCGATAGTGAAAACATATTCAAATAAATAAATGACGTATCCTATCGCGATAGAAATGAAATACACTTGTTAAGATTTCTAGAGTTAATAAATATATGCTGCCTCCGGTAGCGGTGGAATTTTTCTGGAGGGGAGTGGTCAAAAAGATTTTGGATGAAATGGCATGACATTAGCCAGGATCTTTGAAGGCAGCGGCTCGGCAGATTTCCAACTTCGGGGTTTTGACAGATCTAAGGTTATTCCGGTCCTCTGAATCACGATATGAACTCCTCTTAGCGCGAAAATGGGGAAAACCCTGTCTTTTGAAACCCACGGGCGCGGACGAGTGAGCCGTTTTTCTCTGCCGTCAGAGACGCAGAGTAAGGAGGTAGAGAACGCTGAACTACGAAGTTACGAATGACGGCGCGTTTTCTAGCGGAGAACGTATCGTCCGCCTAAGGTGTTAGAGGAGCGAAAGGAGGAAGGGGAGTGGAGCTTGGCTCGCCCTCCTGGCTTGCAGAATCCACATTTTCGGCCGGAAGTTGCTCTTTTGATTCACTTGGAGGGCCTCCTATCCATCTATGTCAAATTCTGAGGTAGGTTTATTCTGCCGAGCCGCTGCCTTCAATAGGCTTATGTAGACAATTTCCTAGACTTTCCGAGATTGATGAAAAGAAGGCGTGGCAGCAGCCGCTCGCAAAAATTTTACGAAGCCAATTTTCAGATTTTTGCATCCATTCTCGGGGGGGGGGGGGAGTGGAATCTATTCGTAGTCGACAATTTCAAACTTTAAAGCGATTCGAGGGCGCAGAGTGCTCTCAGGAAGAAATACGTTGGGCGGAGATAACATAGGGGTTTCAGGAGCACAAATAAAACGAGGAGTTGCTAAATAAGTTTCTTGATCTCCCACTCAAAATCCAAGCACGCATCCCTTCCTGAAATGATTTGACTTCGTAAATTATATGGTATTCCTTATTCATGTTGCCTGAGATTACCTACTGCGGAAGTCAACGAATCAGTCACCCTATCAACACCGTCTTCAAATTATTTATTCTTAAGCTGACCAGCATTTGAAGGTAGATACGGAATGATTATCGGTTGCGGTTGAGTAGCTTGCACAGGGGGAATGGCTGACATTTGGTGCTGTCTTTGTATTTCGATTTGAGCCATCTAAATACACCCAGTAAGTCAAGAATTCCATTTTGAAAAATTTGCGATACCTGTATAGCCTCGTTATGTTTTCTCAATTCCTCGGCATGTTTTTCACCGAGTTTGATTTGTTCCTCCATTTGAGCATGTAATTTTGCTGTGAAAAACTCGTTCTGAGAGCGTAAAGTCTTTTCCATCTCTTTGAGTTTGTAGCTAAGCGTTTTGCCTGAAGTCGTTCATACATTTTGAAGTAGGAAAACACTAGTTGTTAGACGCAATACATACAAACCAAAAAAAAAATTCAGAACATTTTTTATCTGTTAGCGTACAAAAATTCAGACTTACTTTCTCGCCTATATGCATAAACAGCATATCCAAACACTAACAAGCAAAGCAACAAAATCGCAGCCAAAATGCCTGTGACCAACCAGCAGGTTGAACCGAAGACGGCTGCATTATGTGAGCTGCCTGAAAAGAAAATGGCGGACTTTTTTCGAAGAATGCTGTCATAAGAGACACTTTTCGAAGATTAGAATTGAATTAAATCTAAGTCCAAGAATATATAATAATTAAAATTTTTTGATTTCTGTATTGCACCAGAGCGCTAAGCATAGCTATGTGAATCAAAATTGATGCAAGTGACTGTTTTCATTCGATTGAAAGACTTGCAAGCTTTTTAAAATTCAAAAAAATTGTGTCTCGCGTAACTAAGAAAAGTTTGGGAAGTGTACTCTAAATTCGGACACAATTAACATAGTGTTCATCTATCTAGAAAATTATTGCTATCATTTCAAAAAAATTGGGGTCAAAGCGCGGGTCAAAGTGTATTTGCGATTATATATGGCCTTTTTCAAAAAATTCGTGTGGGCAAACTGGAGAAGATGTAAAAGTCAAAAAATTGTGAGAATAGTCTTTGAAAAATTCTCGAGAAGTCCAACAAACTTCATATAATTAGTAAAGATTTGGAAATTCAGCTGAAGCTCAGCTGAAGGTTACTTATAACTGAATTTAAGTGATGAAAAATCATTAGTTCTGGACTGACTGGCTGACACTTCATCAGTTCACCTACATGTATATCAAGTATTAAACAAAATAATAATTAATATATTTGAAACTTACAGTCTGTAGTCCACGAGACAGTATTCAAATCATCGTACTTCGTACATTTGGTAACATTCCAGTTCAAATATTTCCACCAGCTAAGATCAGCAACAGACATAGGGCTAATATTAGTCACCCAGGCGTTGGTTACGCTACGAAACGTTTTCGTCTACGTTCTTTTGCTTCATGGTACCATGGAGACAATGAGCAACGGCACAATAAACGAAAACACGAGAAGACTTTACGAGAGAAGAGCATTAGTACTATGGGAGCTATATTCGCAGAAATTTTATGGGTTTGATCTTCCGAGACTATGGAAGTGGGAAAAAGAAGTTTCAAATCTCTTAGATTATAGGATGTTGGTACAATAATTCGTTATTCATTCTTTATTGTAGATGAATGAAAATAAAGGCATTCTTCAAAAAAAATTACAACAATTTCGCTTTCTGTGAGGAATTTGACTTGAAGGTCTTAGCTAGCCAAATGCCCTAATAGCCTATATGATTCCTTTGTGGCTCAAAAATTCCACTTTGTTCGTCCGGACAGTACCTTACCGTACTCGTGGAAGAAGATTACGGTTTGTGCGAGGGTTTAGAAAGGGATTTGCCGCGATTGCATCATATTGGCAATTGCCTAATTATGACTTCCCCAATCAATATTTAATTGGAAATCAATCTTATATATAAAGCTGAATGTCTGTTTGTCTGTCTGTCTGTCTGTATGTCTGTATGTCTGTCTGTGTGTACGTATGTTCCGAATAGAAAATTCCATTTCTGAACCGATCCGGACCAAACTTGGCACACATACACTACGGGCCCCGGCGGGTGTCATAGGCTACTTTTCGTCATCGATCGATATCGATTTTATCGATTTTTATCGATTTTTTTGCTGAGTTCACCTACGGGGCTGGGAGTTGGCACAGGGGGGTAATCGAGCATGGGGATTCCGAACACAATATTGGTTTTCAGGATTATCGATTACTTTTATCGATTTTATCGATTTTTTTGCAAAGTTTGAGCTACGGGGCTGGGAGTTGGCACAGGGGGGTAATCGAGCATGGGGATTCCGAATACAATATTGGTTTTCAGGATTATCGATTACTTTTATCGATTTTATCGATTTTTTGCAAAGTTTGAGCTACGGGGCTGGGAGTTCGCACAGGGGGGTAATCGAGCATGGGGATTCCGAATACAATATTGGTTTTCAGGATTATCGATTACTTTTATCGATTTTATCGATTTTTTTGCAAAGTTTGAGCTAGGGGGCTGGGAGTTGGCACAGGGGGGTAATCGAGCATGCTGATCATCCCCAAGGGGGGTGATCAGCATGCTCGAACACCCCTGTGCCAAATTCCAGCCCCCTAGCTCAAATTTTCAAAAAATCGATAAAATTGATAAAAGTAATGGACGATCTTGAAAAGTAATATTGTATTCGTAATCTGCATGCTCGATTACCCTCTGTGCAAACTCCAAGCCCCGCAGGTCAAACTTTGCAAAAAAATCGATAAAATCGATAAAAGTAATGGACGATCCTGAAAACTAATATTGTATTCGGAATCCCCATGCTCACTTCCCCCCTGTGCCAACTCCTAGCCCTGTAGGTGAACTCTGCCAAAAAATCGATAGAATCAATAAAAGCAATCGATAATTCTGAAAACTAATATTGTATTCGGAATCCCCATGCTCACTTCCCCCCTGTGCCAACTCCTAGCCCTGTAGGTGAACTCTGCAAAAAAATCGATAAAAATCGGTAAAATCGACATCGATCGATAACGAAAAGTGGACTGTGACACCCGCCGGGGCCCGAAGTGTATGTGTGCCAAGTTTGGTCCGGATACGGCGGAGCCGGGTAAGCCAGCTAGTAGAAAATAAAATAAAGAACATAAGTTGAAACAAACAATTTCTGTTCATGTCACCCACCTCCCATCACAAATGAGTTCACAGTCTCGCACAGCGGTAGCACAAGTCGCTCCAATGCCGTAAAATCAACAGCATTCAATCGTATATAAGTTGCTGACGGCTCGAAATGACCCTCATCTGGTGAGGACCCTCCTATCATAATGTAAAATATATGCATGGGTGATTGAGGTGAGAACAGTGTTTCTGTCGGGAGCTGTAAGTAAAAAAATTCCCAAAAAAATTGTGTGTGGAGGTTTTACCTGCTCGGGTAGTCTATACTTTGAGCTAGATATGATAACGATCACATCTGGGAGATATTTCCTGTTCCCGGTCTGAAGGGCTACTCCAGCCAAGGAGGTAAGGCTGGCCCTGGGCGTACACCGTGTACTGTCTGACAACACGTCGCAAGGCATAAAGCTCACTTGCTGGAAAGTCCACAATAATAAAACTAATAAAAAATCAAGAGAAATTCAAACAAAATCAATGTCAGTAGCATAAATGACATTACTGAGGTGAAATTCAGAAATGGCATAAAAATTTGGTACTACATTTATTTTTACCAAATGTCAACAATGTAAATAAATTGAGAGTACAAAATGACCTAAAAAATCGTAATACTACATTCTATTGAACATGCTAATCAAATGCGAGAATTAAAAAAATTTTATAAATCGGGTCTCCTTACCTCCAACGCAGATTTAGCCTCAGCGCTACTTTTAACTTCTCCCAGACCAAATTGATGCTTAGCCTTTGGGGTAAACTGTGACAGAGCAATCTGAGACTCGTCTTCCGATAATTTAATGTAGGAAAGACTCTGAAAGTGACTCTTCAACATATTTCCTGAAGATTCAGAATTTGATCCTATATCCAACCTGGCTGATGAATGACAGCTCCTTTTGGAATTGAAATCTATCAAGGCTTAGGGTTCCATCAATTATGAACAGTATATCGGAGGATGGCCAAGTACAGGCGCTTGAATGAGCCAGGAAGAAAAGGATGGCTAGCATTCTCTGAAAATCAAAGAAGGGATAAAGTTAGAGTTTATCAAATGCAATAATAGTTATTTTTTGTATTCAAAAATCGGAAATGTCGGTATTACAGGTTATATTGCCTGCCCGTTCCAAATGAGCAAAGTTTGTATGCTGATTAAACGTTTCTGTCTGCAAAAAAGTTAAATTTCCAATACCAGAAGAAGAAGCTTCAATTTGCAGGGTTTTGCTCAGCTAGAAAGCGCAGCTAGAACCCATAATAACAACCCCTCCAGTTTTTGAGTTTCAAATTTTATACGACCAAACTTAGAGAATCAGAACCTGGGTAATCTACAGCTTCTATCTACGCAATTTTGCTGAGTAGAAAGCCGGTAAACACTTTTGAAAGAGCATGATTTATTGTTTCGAACTAAAAAAAGCAAGCAAATTAGTTGAGAAAATCAGAAGTTATGAATTTTTGAAAATGGTGCGAGAGAGCTTTCATTCCAATCCAATCAAAATGGTGGAAGCTTTTGATATAAAAGATTGTTTAAAAAAATCGGCTACTAAATGTGTCAAAAAATTTCTCAAATTTTAAAAATTATCAGGGCAAAATGTTTTGTTATCAAAACCCGTATACTACACCTGTATAATTTAGAATGATTCATGAATGACCCACCTCGGAATTGTGCATGCTGAGTGTGTTCGTTGGTAACTAGGGCTCCCAACACTGCTAGCATGGCATCCAATTCTTCACAATACGGAAGCCAGAGGGCAAGCATAGTATGGAAATAAGTAATTTTGAAATTACTCTCAAGGAGAGAATTGTTTAGAATGTACCAATGGACGTAATTGGGCAAAAAAAAGAGACAAACTAATTTATCAAAGTTGCGTTTATGAATTCTGAAGAGAGTATTTTTAGTCGAGATTCATGGAGGTAACTATAAATAATTTATTGTATATACCAAACTGAAGGTATCAACTAAGAGTACTAAATAAGTGCTGCTTCCTAGTCCAGCCGTTTGGGGACCAGTTCTTAATCAATAGCGAATCTCCATTTACCTAATTTGGAGCGATGAAAAACGCCGTGGCTTTGTTATCAGCTTACAAATCAAAGTGTGGAAGTTATTGTAATAATTGCGACTGTTTCAGTTTTTTATATGTTGTTACTAAACACCGTCAATCTTGTGAAATCGCCCCCATCTGAAACTTGATAGCAACAAAAAGTACAGTTTATGTATACTATGATACAGACAAGCGCTCAGATATAGTGCCTATAATCAACAGTAATGCTCACTATACGGACATTCTCCCCTATGGGAAAGAATATAGTACACACTCCTCATGTAACCTGGAGTCCTTTGTTATTGTGCTTGCTGCACACCATGCGCCCTACTTGACGACTCGTAAGATCATAGCCTGCTTATTTCCAGTGATTTCTCCTTGTTTCCTTGCTTCTTTGGTTTGTTTGCATATGCATTGGCCATTAGTACACACATTTGAAGTTTGTTACGCTACAAAAGGTTTCAGTGGGAACTTACTGATGAAGGCGCCGTTGATCGCCGCGCGTTGTGTGCAGGCTCACATATTTACGAATGACTCCACGATAATTATCGCTTTTACGTAGCCAACTTTCCTTCGCATTTCAATGCACTTTCTATCAAGTTCTTGTTACTGCATCCCCTCTTCTCGGAGACTTTATCGTTATTTTTTACACGCCAACTGATTTTTCAAGGGTGTGGACACTTTACGGCACTTTTATACATAGCTTTTATTAGTAACTCTAGGCAAATAGTTCACTTTTCCTTTCAAAAACGAAAACTGTCGTGGTTTGGCTACTAACAAGCCACAAAATATTGTGACTAAATATTGAAATGTATCAAAATGAGTTATAGAAATTCATTTTTGCCGTATGCGAAAAGAATCTTTAGAGCTTGCCGTGAATAGAATCTTTGAGCTTGTCGTGAACTTTTGCTGAACATATTTTTCAGTCTTTTGTTCAGCAGCACACGTTAATGGGCTATCTCAACTTATGGACATAGAATCTATTAAGCTGATACATAATTCAAGGGGGCGCCCAAAGAATGTAGATAAATTTTCTTTGAAAAGGTTTGAAAAATCAGTTGCAAACAAAACATGTTTGTTATGTGTGACAAATATGGTCTTTTATATTGCATACATTTAAGGGACGAACAAAACCAAAACGACTAAAAATTCGAAGATCATAAGCATTTGTAGAGACATACTCGAAT